TCAAGGAAACGGATGGAAATGTCATTCACCTCTGCTTCTGCAACTTGCACCCTTATGATACCACCCGAAAGGATCTCAACCCCCGAAACCTAGGATAAAAATCAGACATTAAGAATCAGCACGAAGTAAACATATTAAAACAAGTATACAGCAACAAAGCGTAAATAGAAAAACAAAAAATGGGGCCTAACCAAACCAAAAAGGCCACGCTCCATATACCATCCATTGACAGCAGTTATAGCATCATCCAAACGCCTAACATTCACAACTTTCCCTGCACAGCTTGACAACAAACATAGAAATCAATGAACATTCTCCTGTGGGAATACTTGCAGCAAGATCCTTCTACTGACCATAATCGCTCAAAGAACCAAGTAAGCAACCAGTTAATTGTCGGCTATGGAAATTAGGTGGCAAAAAAAGCTACAAGTAAACTTTTGCTAAAAAATAAAACCTACCATACTCGTAACGGAAAGCATCCTCTAGAAACTTTGTGGGGAGGACGCTTGCCCCTTCGCACACAACACCCTGGAATTCTTGGTTTGGTTCTACCTTATGCCCAAAGAAAGCAATATTAGTCACTAATCAAACTCCCCTGACCAAGTAAACGAGTTTTCATTTCAACTCCCCCTGGCCTAACTTTGCAGTAACCATGCAGCATTGGCCAACACCCAGCAGACATTGGTGGACTAACAAGATATTTCAATCGATAAGACAACAATAGAAATGACTTCATAGAGCAGGGTCCTTCAGAAAGCGCTTCACTTTGGCATGGAGTAAATATGAGTATCTCAGTTGCAGAAAATCAAACTGTTAAAGTTCCACAAATAAAGGATACAAATCTATTCGAAAGTTCAAAACTTTACATCTGCAAGTGCATATATGTAACTTGGTTCAGCTAATTCATACCTGAAACACTAATCTAATGCCATCTCTAGTGTCTACTGCCACAGGCATACACGAGGAGAAGTAGCCACTGTCGATGATCCTGTGCACATCCTCTTGAACTTCCTGCACAGTGAGAGCTGAATTCGGGCGGCAGGCCTTCAATGCCGCCATCGCCTCAGCTTCAAGGTCCTTTCTCTCCAGCTCCTCGCCATCTTTGTTCTTAACCAACACTTCACTAATCAACACCCTCTCTTCATCACCCCTACTCACGGAGTGTCCACCGCTCTTCTGCTGCGTCACCACCGAAGCTTCCGGCGGGCCAGAGTCAGCGGGCTGACTCAGAGCCAACGATGCAGAACACAGAATTGACTGCCGCCGCGGCTGAGAACCAGTGAGCGAGAGCGACGCCGAACATAGAAGGGGCGAGCGAAGGCTTCGAGCTCCCGAGTGTCGCCGAATCGAGCCGAGGGAGCGAGAAATTAGGGAGTCTAGGATATTGTCGAAGGAGGATTTCGCTCTGGCGAGCTGTGATAGTAGATTATGAGCGAGGAACGGCGGCGGTGGTGGAGGGAGATTGTGGTCGGAGAGAGGAGGGATTTTGACGGTGGACGAAGTGATGCGAACGTCGCTGTTGCGCCGCGGCGGCGGCATTGAAGCTTGAGAAGGAAGCAGAGAAATTGAGCAGAATTTCGTTCTGGCGAGCTGAGCTAGTAGATTATGAGGGAGGAACGGAGGCGGCGGCGGCGGAGGAGGATTGCGGCCGGACAAAGGATGGATTTTGACGGTGGACGAAGTGAAGCGAACGTCGCTGTTGCTCCGCGGCGGCATTGAAGCTTCAGGAGGAAGCGGAGAAATTGAGGAGAATTGCTGAGGGCTGGCAAGGAGGGAAGGGAGGATAAACCCTAGTTTGAGAAGACGGCGGAGGCGAGAAATCCGATCAGCTGCAGCAACCGGCGGCAGCTGCAAATACCGAAAATCGGAAATAAGACGAAATAAAAGTTCGTTCCTTGAACTTGGAGTAGGCTAACGAGCCCGGGAAGGAAATAGGCCTTGTTCATCCCTAAGTACTGGGCTCGTGGAGCTAGGTGATGTATTGGGCTCATTGGGCTTTTTGGTGATGGGCCGTTTTTTTCCTGGCTGCCTGGGATCTTTTGATTCAGATAGGAATGGAATGGAATGGAGGGTTGGTTTCATTTTCATGAAAATGAATGAATGTAGCTAAAAGAACAAACATCCCCAATGTGTTTGGATGCAGAAAAAAGGTGTTAGATATGAATCTGATAGTGGCTTCTAAGGGCAGAGTCAGAAGTTCAAATAAGGGGACACAAAAAAAAAAAGGTTCTGAATTGTGAATTTGTGATAGCTGGATGGACGAGCATTGAAACCTAACTAATTGTTTTATTATTTCCTCGATAATCATGTGTTTTCATGTGTTTCTGACTATATTACTATGGAAATTGAGTGAGATGGCCAAGCATAACATATTTTTGTTGCGGAAATTAGTTGTTGTGAACTTCAAATTTTGTTTGAATTTATATATCCAATTTCGATAAAATTACTAGAAAAATTAAGAATTTCGCAATAACAATTAGAATGAAAAATCTATAAAATGACAGATAAACTTGTCATAAAAACAAATTTAAATGTCCTATCGCAAAAATGAGGTCACCTATACAATTGAACGTATACTCAAACATAACCTAATCTCGACCATTTTTTTATTCGAATTCGGAGTCGAGTTGGATTTCTCTTGTCGTGCATTGCACATACGGTGCTGACCTAATCTATGGCTCGTGGGTGCTTCAAGCTAAGTAGTGTTGAATAAAGGAACTCCAATGAAAGGGAAAGCCAAAAATCAGAGAGGAAAAAAAGATCAAAAAGCAAAGGAAAAGGGAAGCATGCTTTGCTTTTTTTCCCCATCTATCCATGGTGTAAAGCAGGAATTCAGAAAGGCATTGCATCTCTCTTTTTATCTTCATTGGCACTTAGACCCATATACGTAAATGTCATGTAAAGATCCTCATGATCATGATCTCTTCCCCAAATAATAATATGATTTGCTTAGGAGATTCATTATTCGATCCACAAATCTGGCTAAGTACGAGAGAGTGAATGTTTTAGTTAAAATAATATGCTTCTTGGTAAATGTTTTAGTTCCTCATAAAGATGTGAAACCGCATTGAAAGTTAAATCGAGAATACTATAACGCGGGTAGAATATTAACGAGTAGATGTATGCAGAAGTCGTGGAGAGTTGAACTCTTGGGTTGGAAGCAAGATGAACTATATTATATGTGGTCATTTGGCCATAATCTCATGACAGAATACCTAACCCTTGTGGAATGAGACATTTGACCCAAACCGTGTGTCAATTTGTAATACCTCCATTTGAAACAACCTATAACACGCTTCCTCGAGTATAGTGAAACTGGTTTCTCCTATTCGTGAACATAGTTAATAGCTAGCACGTTTGATCATTCCGAGGTTAAAGCGCGTATATGGCCGATGTTTGAACACAGCATCATCATCATGGTCAGATCTTCCCTTCCCCAGCTGAAGCTAGCCCGTAATTAGGTTACAAAGGGAATGCAAAGCTACAACAAAGCGCCTGCTAGACGTCGTAGAAGGCGCCATGCGGCCATGCTGCTCGTCACCATTTGTTGGTCGGGTCTACACAAAAAAGACGACTGATTGTCTGATAAATTTGCACTGGTCGATGAAGTGGACGATAGTGAAACAGGAAAGTAAGACAACAATTGCTTTGCTTTTGGAAAAAGATGCATGTGTACGCATCCCACTATTGTATATTGAAAGGTGAATGAGAAAGGAAAAGAGAGGTAAAAAAATAGAGTCTGGCTGATCCATACTATACAGTAGTCAAAGTTGCGCATCTATTGGTTCATTAATTAGTTGTTAATAATTTGTTTCATCGTAGGGTTTGAGCATGTCAATTATGTATACATGTTATCCACTTTCATGTGTATGGACGGGGAATGGACAATAAAAAAGAAAGATAACGATTAGCGAGAGAGTAAAGATGACAGAGATTTATGTGGTTCGCTAATAAAATGTGTGTTAGCTACTCCACGGATGCGGAGAGAGCCAACTTCACTATATTTGAGGAGATTACAGAGGAGTATGAGAAATATCTATAGTACTTCTCCAATGGCCTAACGCTTAATCCAATCTGGTAATGAATAATGTTACAGACCAGATCCAACTCAAACGTGTACAAACCCATATTTATAGTAACTTCCAGTCGATGACAGATAATTTGATTCAAGTAAAATATTCTCGTGAAGAAATCTCAACTTTACGAGTCTCCATAATATCCACTATTATGATGAATTCTCCATGAAATTAAACCTTTTTTTATAAGAATTTAATCATTTGAATTATAAATTTCATATTAGTAATATTATAAATTCTCATATGGCAATTTGAACATGTCCCTCACGGTATTACCCGATTCGACCCAAAATTGCCTGGAGCGGAACATCGGTACAACTTTCAACTTGACTGGTCCGTCATGCTGCATTCTTGACCCGTCCTATCTCGATTTGACTCGTTATCTATTTTCATTTTCCTATTTTGGATTTTCTTCAATCATGCCGTCACCGAATGTTGAGTAGGTGCAAAATTTGATCTTTCAACTAATTAGACTCTATAATTTTTTTTTATATCCCTATTTTTTAGTTTATAAAGTGCTATAACTTAGTTAATGTAAGAAAATAATTTTTTTGTTTATTTTTTTTAAATAACATATGAAAATAAGTCGACCTGTCAGATCCATATTCATACAGATATATTACCCAATTTGATTCGGGCTTAATATGAAGTGTAAGATTATTGAAACACCCACCTAATTATCATCACTAATGAAATAAAATCCCTAGTAACAACATTATGAAATGAAAGTCACTTTGATTTTCCCCGGCAAGCATCTAACGTCGGTGAGTTTGGACGGCCAGCCAGCGGGGTTTCGTACACGAAACAAGCGCCAAAACAAGAGGCGAATAAAACGAGAAAGAAAAGGAGAATTCTGAATTCTCTTCCTTCTCTCCCTCTTAATTAACGCCGTCAGCGATGGGCGACGACGAGTGAGGGAAAAATGCGATGGTGAGGCCGTAAGCCGTTAAGATTTAAAATGTTTCAAATATTCAAAAAAAAATTATCAAATCCCCTTGACTATATAAACGCGGCAACCGCACCTCTTGAATTTCTGAACATTCTGGCGCAACCGCCAATCCCTTCCTTCCTCCGCCGCCGCCGCACAATTCTTCTCTTCTCCCACCGCCCGCCGATTTCTGATCATCGCCCGCCGATTTCTGATCATCGCCCGCCGTCCACCTTTCCATCTTTTCGCTCTCTCTTCCTTATCTCGATTTTCGGGAGCCGCAGAATTCGAATCTTTTCTTTCTTTCGCCTCCTTTCCCCCTTTTTCCCCGCTTTCCCCCATTTCTTCGATTTGTTCGGCGGCACTGCAGAAACCCTAGTGAGTATCCGACTTTCACTTCGCCTCCGTTATCTCGCTATCCGCTCTTCCCCTCCGTGATTCACCGTCGTTGATAGCCAAGGTAATTACCTCTTTGAAGAATTTGATTCATGAGCCCGCGCGCTTTTGACTTGCTTGAAAGTTATGGATCGATTTCGATTCAGAATTTGCTGCTGTTGTTGATGATGGATTGTTTACTTACATGCTGCTGCTGCTTCTGCTCAATTGATTGAGAACTCGTTAATTCGTGGTTTAGTTTAGTCCTGCTGGTGTTCTGGATGGAGGAAAGTGTTGTGTTTCGTACTGCGTCTGGTTGAATCGTGGTAATCGATTGATTATGATTTATGATTGTGGTGCCTTTTCTTAGATTTGTTTCCTTTAGAGGAACCGATGAGCTCGATACGTGAGAATGGTGGTGGGGCGAGGGGTGATGATGATTTGAAGGCGCCTCTACTGCAGCCTGCTTCTGGTGGTGCTGTTGCGATTACTGTCCCTGCTGCTGGACAGAACAGTAAAGCTGCTACTGCTGTGGATAAGAAGGTTCGAACTGCAAAGTTCAAGATAGGAGACATCAAATGCACGTCTTGCACTGGGTCTATCGAGTCTGTGCTCAAGGAGCTAGATGGAGTTCAAACTGTGGCGATATCTGTTCTGGATGGCCATGCTGCTGTCACTTATGTGCCAGAGCTCACCACTGTAAGTCTTTAAGTTGTGAGGACTGACAGTGTTTATCTTTACTTTCCGGAGTTCCAATTGTGCAGACAATTTTGATGTTGTTGTTATTGTCTTTAGGTTGAGAAGATTAAGGAAACAATTGAAGATGCTGGGTTCCCGGTGGAGCATCTTTCGGAGCAGGACATAGCAGTATGTAGGCTCAAGATTAAGGGAATGATGTGTACCAGCTGCGCCGAGTCAGTCGAACGTGCTCTTCTGATGATCGATGGAGTTAAGAAGGCAGTGGTTGGTCTTGCTCTGGAAGAAGCAAAAGTCCATTTCGATCCAAACGTCATAGATATTGCAGGAATCATTGAATCCATTGAAGATTCTGGCTTTGGAGCTGTGCTCGTCAGTTCTGGTGCCGATGTGAACAAAGTGCATCTAAAACTTGAAGGTTTTGAATCCTTGGAGGACTGTAAGCAGATTCAATCTTTGCTGGAGTCAGCACAAGGTGTTAATCATGTTGAAATGGACTTGGATGAACATAAGTTAACTATCAACTATGATTCAGCCATTACTGGGCCGAGATCTCTCATACAGCTGATTGAAGAGGCTTCCCCTAGTCCCAACATGTACCATGCTACACTATACGTCCCACCCAGGCAAAGGGAAAATGATCAGCTTCATGAAACTCAGATGTATAGAAACCAATTTCTGTGGAGCTGCATTTTCTCTGTTCCGGTATTCCTGTTTTCCATGGCACTCCCTATGTTTCATCCTTATGGAAACTGGTTGAGCTATAAGCTTTACCACAATCTCACTGTTGGCATGCTCCTTAGGTGGATTCTATGCACCCCTGTGCAGTTCATTGTTGGTAGAAGGTAATAAGCCATCCCTTTCCTTGTTACTGTCATGTGGAATTTCATGGCAAATCATATTGATGACGCTAATTGGCTTATCCTGTGATGTCTTGTCAGGTTTTACGTGGGAGCGTACCATGCATTGAGAAGAAAATCTGCCAACATGGACGTTTTGGTCGCGTTAGGCACTAATACTGCATACTTCTACTCTGTGTACGTAATCATAAAAGCCACCACAGCCGAAAATTTTGAAGGCCAGGATTTTTTTGAAACGAGTGCCATGCTGATATCTTTTATACTCTTGGGGAAGTATCTCGAGGTTGTCGCTAAAGGCAAGACATCAGATGCTTTAGCAAAACTCACAGAACTTGCTCCTGAAACTGCCTGTCTGCTAACTTTAGACACTGATGGGAGTGTTATTTCGGAGGAGGAAATTAGTACGCAACTTATACAGCGGAATGACATAATCAAGATTGTTCCCGGTGCGAAAGTAGCTGTTGATGGAGTTGTTGTAGATGGACAAAGCCATGTTAATGAGAGCATGATCACTGGAGAGGCAAGGCCTGTTGCCAAACGACCTGGTGACAAGGTACACTTCAGTTGTAGATATCGTAATACTTTTTTGTGAAATATTATGACACAATACGATGACCTATATTTTCGTTGTTATCAGGTAATTGGTGGTACAGTAAATGAGAATGGTTGCATACATGTTAAAGCTACTCATGTAGGGTCTGAGGCTGCACTTTCCCAAATTGTTCAACTGGTAGAGGCTGCTCAGCTAGCTAGGGCACCTGTTCAGCAACTAGCTGACCGAATCTCTCGGTATTTTGTTCCCACGGTAAGTTCATTATGCCCTTTGTTTGTAGCTGCTGGTTGATCTCATAATTTTGCCTGAACTTCTGGATATCCCATTTCAGGTAGTCGTTGTTGCTTTCATAACATGGCTAGTATGGTTCATAGCTGGGGAAGTTGGTCTTTACCCTCGAAACTGGATACCGAAAGCCATGGACAAGTTTGAGCTGGCCCTGCAGTTCGGCATATCAGTACTGGTGATTGCCTGTCCTTGTGCTTTGGGGCTCGCAACACCAACAGCTGTTATGGTTGCAACTGGAAAGGGTGCTTCCCAAGGTGTCCTTATCAAGGGAGGAGATGCCCTTGAGAAGGCACATAAGGTGAAGACAGTAGTCTTTGACAAGACAGGGACGTTGACAGTGGGGAAACCACAGGTGGTCAGTGCTGTCCTCTTCTCCAATTTCTCAATGGAGGAGTTCTGCGACTTGGCTACAGCTGCAGAGGTATGTGAATGTTAAGTATCATAGTTGATAGCAAAAAAGATTGTGTTAAAACAACAAAGGGGACTTGAAATACTGTTAGCTTGAAGCATTACCAATGCCATCAGTTTCTCGATTAAGATTGGTTTTCAATGTCTCATTTGAACAACTCGTAATTTGTTCCAGGCGAACAGCGAACACCCTATAGCGAAGGCCGTGGTCGATCATGCCAAGAGATTTCGACACAAGATTGGATCGAACCCGGATCATATCCCCGAGGTGAAAGACTTTGAGGTCCACACTGGAGCTGGAGTGACCGGGAAAGTGGGCGAGAGAATGGTCCTTGTTGGGAACAGAAGGCTTATGCGGACATCTGAGATCACACTGGGGCCAGAGGTGGAGAAATACATCTTCGAAAACGAAGAGTTGGCTAGAACGTGTGTGCTGGTCGCCATTGATGGGAAGATGGCTGGAGCTTTTGCAGTGACCGATCCCGTGAAGCCAGAGGCTCAACGTGTGATCTCTTTCCTTCGTTCCATGGGGATCACTAGCATCATGGTGACAGGGGATAACAGGGCAACCGCCGCAGCCATCGCCAGAGACGTCGGAATTGATTACTTTTTCGCCGAGACCACCCCGGTTGGGAAGGCTGATAAGATCAAGGATCTACAGGTAAATATCTCTCAACAATCAGAATGAGATGTCAGCTCCAAATGTGTTTTTCCTGTGTTTCTGTTCAGCTAATTAGATTTTACCATTGATCCGTTCTTCACAATGCTCGACTGATGCAGGGGAAAGGGGAGATAGTGGCGATGGTGGGAGACGGGATCAACGACTCGCCGGCGTTAGTGGCGGCCGACGTAGGGATGGCGATCGGAGCAGGGACCAACGTGGCCATAGAAGCAGCCGACATAGTCCTGATCAAGAGCAACCTGGAAGACGTTGTCACGGCCATAGACTTGTCCAGGAAGACCATTGCGCGCATTCGGATGAACTACGTCTGGGCGCTTGGTTACAACGTCCTCGGCATGCCCATCGCCGCAGGGATCCTTTACCCGTTCACCGGAATCCGGCTGCCTCCCTGGCTCGCTGGCGCGTGCATGGCCGCTTCGTCGCTCAGCGTGGTCTGTTCTTCGCTGCTGTTGCAGTCGTACAAGAAGCCTTTGCATGTTAGAGAGGGCTGACTGGCAAAATTGTAATTTTTGGGTCTTTGTTTGATCTAAAAATATTGTTATATTATGATTGGTTAAAGACACATTTGGTCACTGAGATTACAAAATCGGGACATGTTTAGTCACTAGAAAAAGTTAATATCAAATTTGGTCACTACAATTATTAAAATAGGTCATATTGAGTCCAACTCCGTTAGTGGAGTCCGTTAAGTGCTGACGTGGCTAACGGATGCGCCAAGTCAGCATCGTTTTGACCCAAAAATCATCATACCCGACCCGCCACGTCAGTTTCACCCGCCATGTCATACACCAACCCAACCATTAACCCAACCCGACCCAAAACCAAACTCTAACCCATCTAACAAAAAAAAAAAAAAAAGGAAAATCATCTGGTTAGTAGCCATTTTCAGACCAAAACCCTTCTCCTTCCTCGCAAACCTGCTCCTTCCTCTAGGTTCCCGATTTTTCAATCGAACTCCAGGGAGAGATGAAGAGCTCCACGCTACCCCTGCCCCAGATCCTCCTTCCATTTTGCATTTCTTCTTCTTCTTCTTCTTCTTCTTCTTCGTCGCCGCGCGCCGTCAGTTTCCGCCATCGCAGTAGAAGGCGAAACCCTCAAATCGTCGTCTTCCCCTAGGGTGCTCCGTCGTCGTCTTCCCCTAGGGTGCGCCGGAGTCAGCTTTCCCCATCGGGTGGCTCGGGTTGTTCCAGGGAGCTGTGAAGGACATGAAACGGGTGAGCAAAGAGATGGATGCCATCATGGAAACCTGGATCGACGAGCACAAGGACGAGAGGAAGAAGAAGAACCAAGTCGATGCAAATCCCGAACTTATCCACAATTCCACATGATGCTCTCGGAATTTAAAGACCAACTCTTCCACCGCCACCAGCGAGAGAATGTCATCAAGGCCACCATTCTGGTACTTTTCACCCCCCTTCCTTTCATTTCATATGAGCAATCAATGAAGTTGAATCCCGTCCAAGTTTTGGATTCTAAGCTACACCTTTGTTTTCCCCTGTTCCTTTGACCAGGGCTGTCAGCGCGCGATGGGGAAAGCTGACTCCGGCGCACCCTAGGGGAAGACGACGACGGAGCACGACGAAGGTGGATTTGAGGGTTTCGCCTTCTACTGCGATGGCGAAAACTGACGGCGCGCGGCGACGAAGAAGAAGAAGAAGAAGAAGAAGAAGAAGAAGAAGAAATGCAAAATGGAAGGAGGATCTGGGGCAGGGGGTAGCGTGGAGCTCTTCATCTCTCCCTGGAGTTCGATTGAAAAATCGGGAACCTAGAGGAAGGAGAAGGGTTTTGGTCTGAAAATGGCTACTAACCAGATGATTTTACTTTTTTTTTTTTTGATAGGTGGGTTAGAGTTTGGTTTTGGGTCGAGTTGGGTTAATGGTTGGGTTGGTGTATGACATGGCGGGTGAAACTGACGTGGCGGGTCGGGTATGATGATTTTTGGGTCAAAACGATGCTGACTAGGCGCATCTGTTAGCCACGTCAGCACTTAACAGACTCAACTAACGGAGTTGGACGGAGACTAACGGAGAGTGACTCAATATGACCTATTTTAGTAATTGTAGTGACCAAATTCGATATTAATTTTTTCTAGTGACTAAACATGTCCCGATTTTGTAATCTCAGTGACCAAATGTGTCTTTAACCCTATTAGGATTTGGCTTGTTTGCATTCGGTACATATACATACCACCATTAATAAAGGACAGCAGTAGTGTTTGGGCCTGACAAAGTGATTGAGGTCCATTTTGGAAACAAATTAGGCCAATATTATGGTGCCGCTATAAAAACTGCGGCACCGGTGACGCTAATTTTGATTGGGCCACATAGAGCTGATGTGGCATCACTGGCATGTGTATAACTTAATTAAATCGGTCCAAACTCAATGGCCCATTCGAAATGGCCTAATCCAGCTACCGTCAAACTAACGGACGTCTTCCACCGACTGTTTAATTGTTTTCTTTTTCCATTTTTTTAACATTTAAAATGATATTTTTAGGTGCCAAAATGTAATTTCCAATGATATTTTGCGTATAAAAATATAAATTTTAGGTACCAAAATGTAAAATATAAAAAATATAGGTACCAAATCGTAATTTGCCATTTGGATTCATGGATTGATCCATGAATCCACCAATCCAATTGGATTTGGATCAAATGGATTGGATTTAAATGGATTGGATTAAGCGGATAATTTGGTGGATGGATTGGATTGGATTCATGGATTTGGATCCTAACTGCCACCTCTAGTTCGGACACAACAGATTGGTTTGGTACATTCTGAACCAACATTTGAACAAGACGAAGTCATTTCATATGTATATGTGGTTCAATGTTTTTCTTTCGTCATCGATAGGTTGTATAAGAAGACAGTTAAAGCACAACAAGCAACCAAACGCACAGTCGACCAATAGTCGAACTATCGATGAAATAACATCAGTCAACGTCCAATCAGCAACACAGGACCCAATTTAACGGAATTTTAACAGCAGAGTAACGGAAGGGATGTGTTTAGGAAAAGTCAAATAAACTAGTAGGGGTGGCTATACGGTTTTGTTCGGTTAAATTGGACCAAATTGATCCGGTCCCAGCCCGGTCTTTTCGGAAATATAAGGACCAAAGATTGGATTGAATACAGTCCGGTCTTGACCCGGTCTGGTCCCAATTTGATCTTGATTTTAGATTGAGCTTGTTGGGATTTGAGTGTTGGGGTCTCTTATCCAGTCTTTTTCCGGGTTTTTTTTTACCTCAAATCTAAGCCGAATATGAGATTGGATTGTTTGCTATCCGATCCCAGTTCGATCCCGATCCGGTTTCGAGTAAAACCAAACAGTCCGGACCAAATAGCTAGCCCTACAAACTAGGGACTGCCATAAAAAAAATTGATAGGATAGGGACCTCAATAGGGCCACACCTTATAGTTCCAGGGCCACATAATCATTTTTAACCCAAAATAACAACAAAGAAGCAAAATCAGCCACACGTCCTATTTTCTGTCTCACCCTGATCCGATATTTCCTGCCAAAAAAATAAAAGAGTAAAAAAATATACACTCCTCAATTTTCCAATTCCTTCATTCTCTCCTTACCACACACACTGGAATGCTAATAATAGCATCACTCTGCTTCTCTCTTTCTCTCCTGCCTCTAGGGTTTGCCTTCAAATACCTCACTTCCTAGGTGCGTGTTCCAATCCTGATTGCCTTCACCTTCCGCCCGAAACCCTTTGGACAGGTCGATAGTTCGTCGGAAGAAACAATGTCTGACAATCAACAGCTCGCGCTATCACTTGTACGCCAGAGGATGACGACGGCCTACAACCAGGTCGGTCTCGGCTCCAAGCTCCCACAAGACCTTTTTCAGGTCCGATATGGCGGCAGCCCGGTGCTACTCCGGAGGAACTTCGCATATGGCAACTACTCCAACCCTGGACTGCAGGGCTATAACCCTGCTGCGACAACGACGACGATGTCGAATGCAGTGTGCGTTCAGGCGCCGTCGGAGAAAGGCCTGACAGGGTTCGCCATTGATTTCCTCATGGGCGGGGTCTCTGCCGCGGTGTCCAAAACCGCTGCGGCTCCGATCGAGCGCGTGAAGCTGCTGATCCAGAACCAGGACGAGATGATCAAGGCCGGGCGGCTGTCGGAGCCTTACAAGGGGATCGGAGACTGCTTCTCGAGGACGATGAAGGATGAAGGGATGATGTCGCTGTGGAGGGGGAACACTGCTAATGTCATCCGTTATTTCCCCACTCAGGTTCTTTTTTTTTTTTTTTCTTTCTCTTCAATTTGATAAAAATATCCTTTTTCTCGAAATCGAGAAGGCAAGATAGTAAATGACACACGGATTTACGTGGTGCGGTAACATGACGTGTGTGTTAGCTTATTCACATGTAGAAAAGACCTGTTTTAGTTTTTACATTATTTTATAGGGTTGTACGTCTAGCCCTAGATAATCAATGACTCGGCGCCCGATCGATCCTGTTGGTCAGCCTGGATAAGTTTCTCTACGGAATCAATTTAGAGTATGGTCATCTTTTGGCAATGTAAGGGTCGGGTAGGATCAAGTCAATTTAGGGTAGGTCATTTTTTTGGCCCAATGACCCATAACCAACTAGTGGTATAAAATTCCTCATATCAATACATTGAACTTGTTTGTAAAAGTTTTAAAAGTTTAGGTAGTATAATGCAAAGTACAAGATATAAAGATACTAATACGTAATTTTACCATCAAATTTATGATTTGTTTTTGTATAAAAAAATAGAGTTTAGGTACTAAATTGTAAGAAAAAAATTTGGGTATTAAAATGTTATTTTCTAAAAAAGTGTGTTTATTGATGCGAGTGAACCACCGGTATGGTCCGGGCCCTACCCGCACGAGCCTGCAGACAAGACGAAAGGAGAATAGGGTTGGGTCGAGTCAAGTTTGAGCTTGACCCTACATAGCCGTATTTTTTTTTTTTTTTGGTAGTGGCAAAATCAGGATTAGGTTTGGTCTAGCTTCACTCATAAATTACTAGAGTAGAAATAAATTACAGAAATTGAGAAGATATATGTTGCACCTTCTCCAAACTGTTTAATCCTAATCTCATCTGACAAGGATTCAACATTTGTCTTACAGTAAGACCCCTGTAACTTTCCGTCAAGGACACATAATCTATTTTTCAAGTGATAGCAATTAGCAACATATTATATTTTTAACTTGTTACAACTCTTTGATCTCTGATTTAATCACCATTGATCTCCCCCAACCTTGTCCAGGCACTGAACTTCGCCTTCAAAGATTACTTCAAGAAGCTCTTCAACTTCAAGAAGGACCGTGATGGCTACTGGCCGTGGTTCGCCGGAAACTTGGCCTCCGGCGGTGCAGCTGGTGCTTCTTCCCTCTTCTTTGTCTACTCCTTGGACTATGCCAGAACCCGCCTGGCCAACGACGCCAAGGCCGCAAAGAAAGGAGGGGAGAGGCAGTTCAACGGCCTCGTCGACGTGTACAAGAAGACGATGGCGACCGACGGCATTGCTGGACTCTACCGTGGGTTCAACATCTCCTGCGTCGGGATCATTGTCTACCGTGGCCTCTACTTCGGCATGTATGACTCCCTCAAGCCTGTCGTCCTCACTGGAAGCCTCCAGGTTAGTTAACGTTTACGACTTTTCTCAACTACTCCAGTTATTCGGACTACGAGGAGTGATCGTAAAGATAATTTGAAATAGTGAAAGGTACGTGAAAGTATTGCTTTCAATGAAAGTTGGTGGTAATGAGTTTTGATAATGATATCATAGTCTTTGTTGATCTGAATGTCACATACATGAACTAGTTCGGGTAGACACTGATATCAACAGTAGAATGAAAATTATTACGACGGGTTTTGCATAAACATCAAGTCTGATGGACGAGATTTAGTTTACGTGGGATTGACGCACGATCTATGCGCTGCTTATACCGAAGGCTCCTTTGGATGATGGATTTGATGAGACAATTTGACCCAATTGTCTCAAAAGATACAATTGGATCAAATTGTCTCAAAAGATACAATTGGATCAAATTGTCTCGTTTGGCAACATAATATAGGGATGCATAACAGTCGAGTTGTCAGACCGTCTGAATTGTTTCATTTTTTTATATTTTTGAATTGACAAGGGAGAGAACAAACAAGTATTGTGAAATGATTTGGTTTCTGTGAGGCAATTGTAAGATGAGGTAATTAAATTAAATCGTGTCATTTCATAAAATCTATCATCCAAATGACTCTAAAAGAACAAGTATGTTGTATTTGTCGCGATAAACCTAATTCTGTATGAAATGGCGTGTTAACCTTTAATCCAATTTTTAGCTCAAAATTTTTCTGATTGGCCTAATATTATTGGGATGAACTGATTATCAACGCAAGCAACTCTTTTTACTCATGTAGAAAATTCCATTTGTTTGTTGTTGTTGTTGTCATTGTGTTCATCATTTCAGGATAGCTTCTTCGCAAGCTTCGCCCTCGGCTGGCTCATCACCAACGGCGCCGGCCTGGCCTCCTACCCGATCGACACCGTCCGCCGGAGAATGATGATGACCTCCGGCCAGGCCGTGAAGTACAAGAGCTCCATGGACGCCTTCTCCCAGATCCTCAAGAACGAAGGCGCCAAGTCACTGTTCAAGGGCGCCGGCGCCAACATCCTGAGGGCTGTTGCCGGAGCCGGAGTACTCGCCGGATACGACAAGCTCCAGATGATCGTGTTCGGCAAGAAGTATGGCTCCGGTGGAGCTTAAAGCGAAAGGAAAAGAGAACCCCCCAATTTTGAGATTTCAGCATCTATGCTGAAAATGAGAAGGCATTAATTTAGTTTCAAGAGCATATGATGGCCTAAAATGAGAGGCATTTCCCCCATCATAACCTAGTTTCAAGTAGTATACTTCTCATATATGATCATATATATATGTTAAATTTTCATGCTTAATATCTTTTGTTTGTTTTGTTTTTTGCTATTCTTTGTAAACACTTTTATAGGGGATTTTATTTAACCCCAGGATTGAATTCATAATGGATTCGATGTTATCATTGTTGATTATAGCTTTACCTAATAATTACTATAGTTGACTTTTTTATTTAAAAGATCGTTAGTTAATTAGCCCTAGATTTGTTAAGTAATAGGGTTATAGGTATAATATGCCCCTCTACTATGACGTTTTATCAAACATGCCCCTCTACTATTTTTGACATCAAACATGCCCCTGTACTTTGGAAAATCTATCAAACATGCCCTTTAGTTGAAATTTCCATTGAAAAAATCATCAATCATGGTTGAACCGAGATTTAGACGACCTGCCATCGATAAATGGGAGGGGAAATGTCAATTTTGACCCTTGTTTTATTTCTCTAGGTCTCATCAAAGTGAAATTATTAGAATTATTTGGCTATAAAAAAAGAACAAAAAAAAACTCTAAAGTGAAATTATTAGGGATATTTTAGATATTTGGGTCGCTCAAACCAAAGTTCGGTCTGGGTTAACGGTTTTTTATGGAAATTTTAACAAAAGGGCATGTTTGATAAGTTTTCCAAAGTACACGGGCATGTTTGATGTAAAAATTAGTAGAGGGGCATGTTTGATAAAACATCATAGTAGAGGGGCATATTATACATATATAACCCTAAGTACTACAATTCATAACCCTAAATAAACATACACAAAGCGTTCTCTCCGTCTGACTTGTAGGACAAGAGCAACAACTAATAACAACATACCAAAACAACAATTAATTATAAGTCAATAACCAAAACAAAACAAATAACTAGCTAGAGTATGTAGTATGCACCTTAATTAATGATAAAATTTACACTATAAACAAATCACATTCAATCGAAACTCGACAACGAAACCTCGGATCCGACGTACGTTACCACGCTCCGAACCTCGTTCCAGCCCGATCGAGCCCCGAAATCACGAGCACGTCCCGTCTTCACATCAAAGGCACCCAACAGCGTAGCATGATCAGCTCGATCATAATAAGGATTATAACCCACGTGTCTGAACAGGTAGAAACACTTGTTGTCCGCCCAAGCCGCCCAGGACGGAACCCAGTTCCTAAACTCCGGTCCCAATTGCGGCACCACATCAAACACTTTTAGCAACGACGACGACAACGACGACTCTCCGAACCCCATGGCCACCCACACCTCGAACCCCGAACCGCCGCCGTCATCGGTAATCGCGACCAGGAACCCTTTCGAGATCGACATGGACCTGACCCGACAACCCGGTTTCGCCCGTGGGCCCGCCACGTACCCAACGGAGAGCGCTTCTCTGGTCAGATCGTAACACAAGATTCTCGCACGCATGTTTTGCTGCTCCCAGTGCCACAGGTAGCACCTCCCGGCTTTACTCTCGACAATGGGCTGCTCCACCTCGTTCCGGCCCAAGCCCAAGTAGTTCAGGCCCATTCCCTCGTGTTTGGATTCGTGTCCCCACGACCCGTTCCTCAGGCTGTACACGTGGGTGTACCTGTGGTCCGCGTCGGTGCAGACGCGGACCACCTTGAAGTCGCTGGTTTTCGGGTCGAACCCGAAGACCAGCGACGAGAAGGGAGGCGGGCGCGGCAGGAGCTTCGTCTCCGACGTGGCCGGGTTCCAGAGATGGACGTCCTGCTGCCGCTCCCAACCGACGGTGATGCAGAAGATTCCCTCGCTGTACCCGGCCACGGAGAACCCGTCCCCCACGGTGGACCCGTAGCCGTGGGGGTAGAGGGGGATCGGGGCGACGTAGAGCGAGGACATCAGGGCGTCGGCGGAGCGGAGAGAGAACACCGGGACGGTTTTTCGGTGGAGGAGGCGGATGATCATGATCTTGTTATTACGATCGCCGCCGCCGCATCGAGTGCCGTCGAAGAGGAAGATTTTTAGGAGGAAGTCCGGGTCGGAGAGGAGGGAGCGCCACGATGTGGAGACGCAGCGGCATCTGGCGACGGCGGTGGCGGAAGGGAGCCGGGTCAGGATTTCGATCACCGTGTCGGAGGGGATTCCGTTGCTGGATAATGACATCGTTGTTGTTGCCGCCGCCATCGCGCTACTTTGAGTTAGGTCAAGGGGGAGAAGGTGATGAGATGTATATATTATATTATATATATAGCACGTACTTATGTACTTCTCTTATCATGCATGGGCAGTTAGGGTTTAGTCCTCCCGTACGTGAAGAATCGCCGAATTTTGCGCTTGCAATCCCACTATTAATACTAGATTGTACCCGGCCCGTTGGCCGGTTGCAATATAATATTCCTAATTAACAAAACTGTAAAGGTTAAATTTCAGTAATCTCCTCTCCTTTTATATTCTTGTCATGATTATATGTCAACATCATGTGAATTAACAAACAATGATATCAGTTTACAAAATAGATATCAAGTTGGTTTTCCCGGTTTTACTACTACGTAAGTCAAAATGCATTCAATTGCTGCAAATGAGCATCTATCATAAAGATTTGCCTTCTATGCTCATATTAAACTTAATGTCACGATATTATAGGTATTCCTATGCAACCTGTTTTAGCATCAAGAATCTTCATCATTAACTCCATTATCTTCATCATTAATAGACGCTTCTATCTTTTGTATTTTTGCAAATCAAATTCAAACACAAAACATAATTATATATGAAATGTAATTTACTTCATTTTAATCACAAATGAAGTTGGAAGTTAATTGTTTCCCATCATTGATTATCTTTGAAACTGTAAATCGAGTTACGGGATTTGTGATGTTGTAATCAGTAATCACTAAACTTGGAACTTTTACCTCAATAATTTTTTTCGTAAATACTGCATTCTTTCAATTAATGAGACATTATGGAGAGGAGGTATCATTCTTCCACTATTTTTAGAAGCTTTTCATCACTAACTCTAAAATCCGAATTCTTGATGGCCAAAAACAACAAACTCATATATGGTAGTATCCAAAACTCAACGCATATATGGTAGTATCTACCATTCGAATTGGGTCTTAAATATGAAAAATGTTGACAATTGAGATTCATTATTTAGAAGAGCAATATAAGCTTTAGTGAGTATGATTCTTAAATTGACTAAATTTCGCATACGGAAAATGAAAGAGGATAGGTAAATTATCACATAACAACTATAGTGTGTTGTTGCTAGATCTTAATCAATCATTAGATTCAAACTGATATTACCGCAATTTTCCAATTCAATTCATTAAGTTCTTTTATTATCATAAAATCATTCAAATAAATTAATGCAAGATGTATTTTTAAATTTCAACATAATAAGAAAGATTTTTCAATGTATAAGAATGTTACTATAACTTATAAGTGACCCTTATAAAAAAAAGAATGTTACTATAAGTGAAATTCAATTACTTCGGGAATATCAAGATTAGGACGTAGCACGTAGCTTCAATTCAAGATAATAAATTTTCACCCACAAAATTGGTCAATCACCAGTAAAGAATATTAACATCTCAAGTAATAAACTAATAAAATAAAAAAATGTGTGCGTATATTTCGGAGACAGAGGAATGCAATGGCCAAAATGAACATGACATTAATAGCTTTGGCAAGAATTTTATTCAATTAGTTAATGGTTGTGGTTCATAAAGTTATTTTTACAATGCATTTTCTATACCTGAATTGAGACTTAGAACTTTAACAAAATCAGGTAATTTTAAAATAAAAATTATACCTATAAGTTGGTATTGTCACATATTTGGACATCAATAGATTATTTGAAATTAATAAACTCTTTTTTTCGAAATCAATCTATGATTGATTTTTCCCCAATTAACTTTGAAATCCTCAAAAAAGTGTACATTTATTTATTTACTTATTACACACAGAAAAATGCTTTACATTCTTACCTAAAGGCTCGAAAGTGTACTGTTATTTGTTAGACCGTGCTAAACATATTTAGTTATTGTTGCATAAAAAATGACCATATTTTTGAATTGTTAAATTGAAAATCATATGGAACTTTGTTCATATGATATAATTGCATGTCTTTTCATGGAATAAGTTTTACATAATATTTAATTACACATGCAATTGCAAGTTAATTGTATTGATTTAGGTGAATGAAAAGAATGTGAGGTGTATTGCAAATTTGAGTTGGCAATAAAGTAAACAAATGCAATTTTGCTTTTATAATTACATTGATTTGTATGCTCTTAGTCATCTGGTATATAATATTCTATAAAAATGAAAAAATTAAGCAATCTCAGCAGCTCCACAAAACTTAATCACATATAGATTAAAAATAAATAAATGAATGAATTACACGTAGGTTCAATTCTCTTAGAGCAACATTTACTTTTTCTGAAAATATATCAAAATGAATATCATCTTGTAAAGTCCAACCAATTTGATTTTCCTGTATATGAAAAATTGAAATATGAGTTATAAGGTCCCTACTTTGATTCTAATCCTATTGGATCTCACAATATGATTTTATATTCATCTGCTGAAACTCATTATAATAAGGGAAGAGATAGGATACAAAATTCACTACTACAAAACCACTACTCATCGTATCACCGTATCATAATACGATTGTACGATCAGAATTGTACATGATTTTGCAGGCAGGAATTTTGTACCCTATCCGCCCCATATAATTATATTTTCACAATTAGATTAACTATCCAGTGCTAATAATGTATGGTGCTTTGTGGGCCTTATCGACATTAATTGAATTGGTGTTGCCACCATCAATTAATCGTTAATGAAGAGATGAACAGAGCCCAAAAACAAAGTAAAAAACAAAGCACATGCATTAAAGCCCACAAATAACCTAGAAGTCTCACGTCTCCTACTTTACTAATTGCGAAAAGACCAAAGCATCCTTCCTTATTCTGCGCAGAGAGCAGGAAAAAAGGAATGGAGTGGGGTGCTACGGAGAACCTCCATATATTGATTGGAGGACTACTAGGATGACAATTGCCAAATCATGAATAATTTTATTCAAATCCAAGTACATCCATGGATTAAAAACTCAATCCAGTCCAAATAAATTGGTATGGGTATAAACTCATTCAACTCTACTCATTTACCATCTATTTGGATATCATATTCAACCCAACTGAGTTGGATAGTAAAATGTCCATGGATTTGGACAAAATTGTCATCCCTACTAGTAAGGTTGTTAAACGGTTAATATCGTGCTAGCGGTGTTTACCGATAAGCAAGGCATAATCGGATTACATTACATCGTTTAAACAATAAATGATCGATTTCCGCTAGCCAAGCTCCCTTGTCTACCCTTGTTGTAATAGTAGTTTAAATTCAAATGAGAATAATATCAAGGAAGGGCTCTAAAAGGAGCACCAAAAAAAAAAAAAAAGGACTTGCGCATTGTAGCTCGACAACGATCAGTAACATTTAATCTTCCATGTAATTTTGTGGGGTTTATGATTTACGTTGAGTAATTGTTGTTGGATCTCTTATTCTTCGCTGTTTTTTTAATCAAATTAGATTGGTGTATGGTGTTATTGTGTACCTTTGTTGGATTGAGTTTATTATGTATTGATATCTATGTTAAATTATTTTTTATTCAATAATGACATCTTAAAAAGAAAAAAGAACACATGTATGTAGGAAAAAATCTACAAAAATGCACAATTGAAAAAACGAGGATGTCTTATATATGTTGGTTAGATTATCGATCAGTTAAGTTGGTCTAAACCTATCGGCGCCATCGCGCTACTTGGAGTAGGTTAAGGAGGAGACGATGATGAGATGTATATATTATATGCCCAATAGGGCAAAATTTGGCAGCGGAATAGGGGTATTTTACCCACCATATCACTAAAGTATGAGAATTGGGGCAAGGGTATCACTAAAATTAAAATAGAGCATTGGGTACTATTTAATTAGTGTTCTTGTAAGGGAAGAAACATGAATTCTAATAGGAGAAGGACAGATGCTAAAGTTTTGGATGAGAAAGAAAGGAATTTTGTTGTGTAACTATATAAATAGATGCTTGTCAGAAAACCCAACCATTAATGAAATTCTCTCTTCGATAACATCGAGCACGTATCCAAAGTCCGGAAACCCAAAGCTCCAGCCTCATGTTGAAGACGTAACTGATTATGAAAACTGAACCGCACCTGCAATAGCAAATGTGATAAATAAACTGCAGTTTGGGTTGTTGAACTGTGATCCAGCAGAAAAAGTAGTCATAACTTCATACGTATGCAAACTGTACAAAGAAATATAATCTATTTACAAACCACAACCAATGGTAACAAGTAACAACTACATTCCCAACATAGATAGGAAATTAGAACAGAGTTCTCTCCATCTCTTCCTTTGCTATGGCTACTCTTTCAGGGGACTAGAGATGCTCACCTTGGCATGTACTAGTGTATTATGTCCCATACCTCTCAAAAAGGGTACGGACTTCTATAAAAAGCGCTGCAAATCGAATCATCCATCGCTGAATGACCTGGGCCAAATCCATGTATCCATTGATAAATGTCTAACGTGGCTGCAATGATGTTACAAGAGCACTTAAATGCAACCAAAGAACCAAGTCGTCTGCAAAACGATCAAACAATATAGCCCCTGGGAGGGCTGTATGCATAGCCATCAAAATAGACCAAACAGGCCCTGGAGGCATCGCCTGAATCACAAAACGAGAGCAGTGGCACTAATGAATACAGTATCAGAAACATGGCTGAAACTTAAAGCCATGAACCAGAACTGCAGTAGATAACAAAGTGGCAAATGGAATGTCGAGACATGAAACTTAAAAGCCTTCAAAGTTGAGCCAAGCTGCTTTAACCACAGTTGCAATCAAAAGCGACGAAGCAGAACACAAAGATAAGCAACAAAGAACCCATAGATCATAGAGCCTCCAAGAGTGCAAAGCTATGAAAACTGACACCCAAAAACACACATCCAGCAGAACTTCCTGCTTGTATTCAACAAATAGAGTGCAAAAACAACACGTAAAGCAGGCATCAAATCACAAGTTCACCAGGTGAATCATTGGGAAATGACGAAGGATAGATGCTAGCATGGTCAATTGCATATCAATTCATCCCATTGCTGACAAACCCTGGCGGTGCCTATTAAGAACCCGAATATCGGATTCAACAAGCAAGCATGCACAGAACGAACATATGAAACAACACGTGTTTTCCACCGGCTAACTGACCATATCTCTGTAATAAAACGTAATAGTTCAATTCTGTCTCACCTCTTCACCATTGTAGAAAAAGGAAAGGGAATTAATGGACATGAAGATCATCATGGGAACATCAAATTACGCATTAAACTTATCAACATCCCATGATATTGTCCTCATGATGAATGAGGGAACAGACATTTCACAACTCATAACTTGCACACAACATCGGATCAAATATCAATCCAAATTCGACAATGAAATTTTGGACGGAACATATGAAATAACACTTGGATTCAGCTCATGTCTATTGATCTCAACATCACGAATGAATCCCGTCTTCTTCGTCTTAAGATCAAAGACCACCACCGCCACTTCTTCCTCAGTATCATTACCTGGAGCCATCAAGATCTTTCCTTGGAAGAAACACTTGTTGTTTCCCCAAGTCACAAAGGAAGAGCAGTAATCAGCACTAAAATCCCCTGTTTGGGGCACATCAGCCACTTTAGTCCACGACCTCGCATCTCCAAACTCCATTAACGCCCACATCTCGTACACAGGGTCGTCGGATGAACGGGCACGGCTGCAACCGTAGAACGCCACCAAAACCCCTTTACAGAACGAAACCGACTTGACAAACCAACAATCCCCCAGTTTCTTCCAGGGAATCGTCAACCGCACCAATGAGAGCGCGTCTTTTGCAAGATCGTAACAGAGGATTCTCATACCCCCACCTCCACCAATCCTGTCACATTCCCATCTGTAACATTTCCCGTCTCGGCTCTCGAGGATTCGGTTCAAGCAACGGCGACTGTGATTCATCTTGTCCTTTTTGTACCCCTGACTCCACGAATCGTTCCTCAAGCTGTAAACCTCGGTGAATCGCAGGTCCGTCGAACTCCGGACCGTCGAGATCCTCACAACCTTGAAGTCATTCGATTCCGGGTCGAACCCGAACATACACGCCCACAAATACTTGCCCCGCTGCTGGTGCGGCGGGTAAAGAGGCGCCCGCCGCAGAAGCTTGGTCTCCGAAGTGGTCGGGTTCCAGAGATAGAAGTCCGACGTCAGTGTCTTGCCGTCGGTGAGACAGAATATGCCGTTGCTGTGGCCCACCAAGCGGAACGGATCACAGGGGGGAAGGCAACCGACCGGGTGGGGCGGCCAAGGCAGGGGGATCAGGGCGGCGGAGGAGGAGGAGGAGAGGAGGGTGAAGGTTTCCGGCGAGTAAAGAGAGTAACGCAGATGTCTATCCCTCATTAGGGCGAGAATCATAACCACTCGATCTCCGCCGCCGCCGTCGGAGGACAAGAGGATTTTGAGGAGGAAACTCGGATCGGAGAGAAGAGAGGACCATGATTTGCAGACGCAACGGCATCGGGCGACGGTGGCGGCGTCGGGGAGCCGTGTCAAGATGTCAATGCACGTGTCCGTCGGGATCTCGTTCGTGGGAAGTGACATCGTCCGGCCTGTTGCCGCCACCGGAGTTAGGGTTTTTTAGAGCACAGCAGCTCTGTTGGCTGTTGGTGATAAAAAGAAAAGAAAACAGAATAAGAGGGATGTTTCTCAAAAAAATGTTATGCATTTTATAGCCCAATAAGGAGGGAACAAATTTAATTCAATTGGTTGGAAGTAGGGGGGTGTACATGGGTCGGGTGGTTCGGGTTTACTCATTTTAATTATTCGACTCATGCACTACGGTTTGGGAAATATCAAACTCAAACCCACCCAACAAAATTTAAACCTTACGGTTTGTTTCTAATTGGGTTGGGTCGGGTTGGCGATATTTTTAAGTAAAAACCCAACCCAACATAAATATATAATTATTCTATGTCATAAAAATATTTTATAAGTTATAACTAATTAAAATTTCAAACGAATGAACCGAGTTAAAGGTATCAAAATTCACAAATGTTGTTTGAATTTTAATAAATTGTGATCTACTTCAACATATATCTTGTTTTTTTCACAATATTTGTTGAAATAGACTAAAAATGTTATAAACAAACGCATCCATAATATGTTATTCTATTAAAATTGTACACAAGAAAAATGATTACGTGAATCATAACTATATTCAATTTATGTCTAAACTTTAAGTCGAATAATGCTTTAGACTAGGGAGACCATGAGAGACAAACATGACGATATATCTTAATTTTCTCATAAGTATATGACTATATACGACATAAATATTTTTTAGATCCGAACTCATACTAATAGTTGGAACACGGGTTGGGTCGGGTTCTACGGGTTGTGTATCCAAAATCCAAACTCAACCCAAAAGAGACGGGTTGTACAAAAGAAAACCCTCACCCAACCCAAAACCTTCGTTTTAACGATAAATATGGGTGGGTTGGGTCGGGTTGTACGGGTGGGTCAGTTTGCGGGTGTGTTTGTTCACCCCTGGTTGGAAGTTCAACCACCGCGGCTAGCCGGCTACCCTCATTAATATTGTTTTTTTTTTCTTCTCTTTTTTACTAATACGAGAATAATCATTTCAGTGTAGTTCTTCACTATAATAGTATAACAACAATATGTTATTAAGATTTCCGAGTTACAAATAAATAGAATACACAGTATTTTCAAAACAGTTCCTCTATGTCACTCACAAAAAATCTCTTATCTATCTGTTGATTGATAAATACATTTCTCTATTAAACCCCACAAAAACAGAAGAAATAGGATCGAGCAAGCCAGGAAGAAGGAAAAATGAAATGGAAATGGATGAATTGAGCAAGGAACTTATTGTTGTGTTAGAAGGATACTTATTTTATTGCGCGGTTGTAAAAACTATTGTTTAACTTATTTAGTGAGTTGTCATATCACATTATGTAAATTTTATTAACATTTCGTCTTGAACTTCCTCTGTTACTGGTTCGGCAATCTGCTATGTATATGCATATCTTGAAACCTTTTAGAAGTCTTGGAATTAGATAATGAATAATTAAGAGCATATCATATACGGTAGACTTTGTAATCGAAGAAATATAAAGAAATTAAAGTTGTAACTATGATGAACGCCAAAAGAGCTTACTTGATTGATAATATACATATGTGATATGACAATGCAAATGCACAACACCTAACTTTAGTACATAAGTTCATTGAATCACACCACCATCTCTATTTGTCACATCTTTTTCTCGCTTGTGTGCATAACAAGGTAGCTACCAGGTGCATGCTTCATGAGGCACGAGACGCGAAATAAATTAGTAATTCAATTATGGGAGTTTCAATTTTGAAACTTTGTTGCTGGGAAGCGCCTTCTGGACATCTTGACAAGAGAGACAAAGGCAACAACTAACACACATGGTTACATAGCCGATATGGAGTATTGACATTCCCAAGCCTTTGGCTTACGCCATTTTCCTACTACAACATACTTGTGGAAGCATATCTTAGCTACTCATTCTCATAATAGCGTTTCTCGTCGGTTTGAAATCGAGTTGGAGATCAATCGCTTAGCTCAAGGAGATCGTGATATTCATGGGTATTATTAGGAAAGTTTCCATTTATGGACCAGATATATTTGCTAACAACTTCTCTTGTTACTCGTGCAAATTCAAAGGGAGTTATTGAAGAGCCAGCAACACTCGTGTTGTGCAATTTCTATCTAAGTTGCGTCATGAGTATGATCTCATTCGTGCGTCTCTGATTGACTGCGAGATAACCACAATTGAAGATAAATTTGATATTGCATTTGCTTTTCATTCACAGTGTTTGCTCCATAGAGGCAAAAGCTTTTTAAATATCTTTCTCGTCCAATGATTCAGTGTATGAACATTCGTTTGACTTGGTACATACAAATTTGTGGGGGTCCTTCATCGGTTACAATTCAGTTTGGGATATCGGCATTTTGCTTTATTTATAAATCACACGACACAATTCTCATGGGTCTTTTTTCAAAAGCATAGATTCGGTTTAGCATCGTTGGTGAAATATTTTGTTCAAATGGTCAAAACCCAATTTGACAAGACCATTAAAATTCTTCATTCTGGCCTAGGTGGAGAATTTTCAGCTATTGAACTACTTTCGTTGTACAAAACAGAAGGGATTTTGTCTCAACAGTCCTATCCAGGAGTATCTCAGTGGAATGGGCTAGTAGAACGCAAACATCGACATGTTCTAGAATTGACTCGGGAACTCCTCCGCCACTCTTTAGTCCCAAATCATTTTTGGGGTAAAGCGGTTTACAATGCAGTGTACTTGATCAACAGGAAAATTGCACATTTGTAGGGACCATTTTTACCATATCGGACCTTATTTGGCAAGCCACCAGAGTATTCTACTTTGAGAGTCTTCAGATGTGTATTTTTTGTACTACTTCCTTCCAAGGGGCATCATAGGTTAGAACCAAAGACAACTAGATGTGTGTTTGTAGGATACAATGGTAAGCATAAAGGGCTACTTATTTTATGATATTGTGGATCTCCATATGAGGATCGCATGTCATGTCGTCTTTTCGGAACATGTTATGTATTATTCAATTAACCTGTACGAGTTATCATTAAATGATTCATTGGATTTTCTAGCTCCTTTGCCTTCTTTTGGACCCAATGTGATGCATGCACCACATGCAGATACATATAGTGAAGAAAGGTCACATGGCACCTCCTTATCTCCCTCGGTATGAACTCCTACTATTAGTCTTTCCTCATCCGCTTCATCATCTTTGTTTGGAGCCAGCTTGCCTTCATCATCGAGCTCAAGCAGCTCGGGTTGAACTTATATCTCGGGATCATCATCTAGTGGGTCACATATTTTCGATTGAGGAACATGATGGCTCTTCACTACCTGCTCAAGCTATGGTTCCTCTAAGAAGATCAATTAGGACGACTCTAGGGCAACCTCCCACTTGTATGTTGGATTACGTGGGGTTTGCGACCACCCCGATCATGATTCCTTCCAGTTGCACAGAAGCACAAGGAGATCCCCGGTTGGAAGGTGTCATGCAGACAGGATGGGATAACTGGAAGCAAATCAAACATGGGATCTTGTCTCTAGGGAACCGGACTTACCGGTTATTGGTAGCCATTGGGTATTTTACAATAAAGATGCATTTACTATGATATGGTATTTACTATGAGGAGACCTTACTCTCGTGGTTAAAAGGCAAATTGTCCGTTTGTGTCTTTGTTGTAGTTGAAATGAGAGGGTTGTCCTTAATTCGGTTGGATGTGAAAAATGCATTTCTTCATGGCGATATGAAGGAGACTATATATATATAATGACTTCCAGGTTATACAAAGGGACACCCATGCACGGTTTGTAATCTTGTTTGATCGTTGTATGGACTGAACCAAGCATCTCGTGCTTGGTTTGGAAAGTTCCACGATACCAATGTTTATGAAGGGTTTGTCCAAAGTCATAATGATCCCTCCATTTCATTCGTCCTACACTGGATGGAATTGTCGTCTTGCACATATATATATATATATATGGTGACTACTTCGGTGCACTTACAAAAATGAGTGCGTTCAATGCACCCAACTCAAAAACTAGTCTTAAGGTGTCAGATTTTGGATTTTAATTTGTAGAATTAGTGTAGTATGATGACATAACATATGATAACAACTAATTAGCGGATTACCCTAAGCCCTAGACCTCCAATTTTGATTTCTATCCCTAAACCCTAAATCATAAACCCTAACCCTAACCCTAAATCTCTAAACTATAAATCCTTCAAATTAACGTAAATCTTTAATGGTTTTTGTGCAAATTCATGTGCGTTATTGTTCATCACATCATAAGTGATGATTGACATCATTTTGACATAAATTGCATGTTTAAAATGACGGTTATGAAGTGAGTGCACCGAATGCACCCAAAAAAGTGAGTGCACCGAAGACGCCACCATATATATATATAGATATGTTGGTGACGAGTAGTGATGCACATGGGATTAATTGGGTGTGGATTATTTCCTCAGGTTGCAAGGACAACAGTCAGCTTATGGATTATTTATCTCCCAAAAGAAGTACATTATAGATTTGCTAGTGGCTGAACAGTATAGTGAATGCACTCCATGTTCGACTCATATGGAGCAAAACCTGATATTGCATTAAGAAAGTGGTGAGCCAATATATGGGCATGACAGAATAATGCATTTAGCTACAATTCATAGGCTATTGCGGTACTTGAAGCAAACTTATGATGTAGTGATACTTTTTACATCAGCAGGGGAGCCGGTAATTGAAGCCGTTGATGATGTTGACTATGTTGGTCGCAAAGATACACACCAATATACTTCAGGATGGTGTGTTCGCATAGGTGGATCCTTTGTTTCCTAGAGTTGTCAAAAACATGATCATGTGTCGAAATCTTCTACTAAGGAAGAGTATCAATCCATGTCTTAGGTAAGTTTAGATATGGTCTAGTTGTAGTGACTACTTGGAGAATTGAGTGCTGTGTGTGGAGCACCTCTGAGGATCTATAGTGATAGCACTCGTGCAATCAAGATTGCCATCAGTCGGTTAGCAAGCACAAAGGAATGAGAGGGAGCTAGCAAGCACAATACGATTTTTGTACCAATCTTTTTGAACTATATGCCTCACATGAAGTTGTATTCTTTGAATGACACATCTTTTAAATCTTTGTGCATGCATATTGAAAAAGTTCTTAAGAATAATGAGCAATCTGATATCGATGGCAATGATTTATAATTTTATATAATGAGCTCAAGTTATTACAAGATCTTTTTACCTTTTTGCGCTCTACAATGATACAAGAAAGGCTCAATGGATTAGCTATGATCGCAATTGAGAACGATCTACTGGAGAATTCGAAGATTGAAGAACTATTTTATTTCAAAAAATCCTAGAAGGATGTTATTTTTTAAATGACGATGTAATAATTGTATTTATTAAATTTGTTGAAAAAATTGGGTAACAATTTGTTTTTGGAACAGGGCCTCGAGAACTTTAGGGACGACCCTGAACCCCTATATACACGCAACAATAAGTACGCGCAGTACTTCAACCGAACGAGAAAAAACCGACCTGGATAACGAAAATCACATCCCAATACAATCACAAACGTTCGATCAATTTGTGTCAGCAAAACCCACAACCGAAACTCGATTAGGAACATAATTCCATACGATCCTGACATCCTTCCTATAAGCTCGAACCCCGAAATCAACGACGTCTCGAGTTCGAGGATCGAACACAACAACCTCTCCTCCGAAACACGATCTCCCGACCTCCTTCTTCTTCCTCCTCCTCACAAACACACACTTCCATCCCTTCCACATCCCCAGACAACGATACGGCATGTAGTAATCCTCGTCACGAGGAACCTCATACAACTTCACCCACGAAGCCGCCACTCCATACTTCAACATCATCCACACTTGAAGCTCGGCACCCATATCATCACGGAGGGACGAGAAGACCGCCACCATCGAGCCTCTCGAGAAGGTGATGTGCAGAGGAAACATGGTCCCGTCGTCCTCCGCCGCCGGATCCAAAACGTCGACCACCTCGAACGCTTCCTTTGCTAGGTCGAAAGGGAGCACTTTCGTCATCCGGCTACAACAATATTCTCGATTCCAACGGTAGCATTTCCCGTCGTGGCACTCGGGAATCGGGATTGCTGTGTTGGTCATGAACCGGGAGATCAGGTCCACGCCGCCGCAGGTCTCGACCTTGCTCCACTAATCACGCCTCAGGCTGTACACTTCGGCGAAACGGACGATGGCCCCCTCGCCAGCCCTCCGTTTTCCGGCCTTTTTCAGCCTGACGAGCTTGTAGTCATTCGTTGTCGGGTCGAAACCAAACATCGGGCCGCAGAACAAGCTGTGGCGACGTTCCGGCGAGGTAAATGGGGAAGGTGGAAGTGCTTTCGTCTCCGAGGTGGCCGGGTTGTATAGATGGATACCTGAAAATTAAGTACGTAATTAAATAAAGTTCCCCTATTTCGTAACTAGTATATTAATCTAATTAGACTAAAACATTGTATAATAGATTCCTAGCAGGAAAGAGTTTGACTCATATATAAGCTTGATTGAACTATTATTTTGCTAAAACATTGTATAGTAGTACTGAGAAACGGTGCGGTCTGGTCGATCTAGATTAGACCATATATACTGTTTATGGTCCAAACCGAGAGGCTGAAGTATAGACCACAGACTATACGGTTCGGTCCAGACCACGCCTGTGCGGTTTGGTTCGGTCTGGTCTGGTCTAGATAGACCACACTCAACGAAAAATGAACAATTTGTTTAGTCAATCACACAAAAAATTAAACCAATAACCAAGAAAAATAATTGCTATTTGCCTTAAAACATTAATCCTAACATGCATGAATAATTTTGGTACCCTAATTCTTAGTACATAACAAAGATTTAAAGTAAAAGCATCCCAACTTGCACCATAGCGTCATAAAACATTAACATAATGTCATATTGACACATGATTATCTCTACTCTCTCGTTAAATGTGGTTGTGAATGAAGGAGAGACGAGATTCACAAAATTAAGGTTGAGACTTGGGTGTCGTTGTGGGAGTTGGGAGAGTGGTCAAATGAGCTGTCAGCACGTATTGACAAGTCGGTTGGGTCCACGGTTTGGTCCGGTAAATCGCGGTCTAGACTAGACCAGACCAAGAGATCAAAACATAAAATAATACAGACCATACTTAACGGTCTACAGTCCAGACCAAACTGTACGGTACTGTTTGGACCACGGTTTTTCTAACGGTCTGGTCTGTTTTCCCAGGCCTATTGTATAGTAGATTCCTAGCAAAAAATCCAACACATAAAAGCGAAACTGAATGAATTTACAATATTAAATAGCTCTAGATCGAGCTGAGCTTAACGAACCACCAAATCAAGCAGGCTTAGCATGCTACACTCAACCCAATTCATCGAATAAAGCTAGCTCACGAGCGTGAGTAGTAGACTAAGGTCTAGCTCAAGTTTGGCTCGTTGAGCAAAAATATGGTAAAATCGTAATAAGATCGTACCGTTGGGTTCTTGTGTCCTGTTACTCAAACAAAAGATGCCATTGTCGTAGCCCACAATGCGACAACTGTTATATCCCACGCCTCTGGTGCTGGGGAGGACGACCGGTCGCGGTGGATCGGCGGATAAGGGAAGAAGAGTGTCGTACGAGCAGGGAGAGAAGATAGGTTCTCTATCGCCGGTCAGACGGAAGATTATGATCTGACGGCTGTCATCGGAATCCTGCTCTGTGACGAGGATCTGACGGAGGAAAGCCGGGTCGGAGAGAAGATCGCGCCATGATCTGCATACGCACCGGAACCGGGCCAGAGCCAATGCGGCGGGATGCTTCTTGAAGATTTCGATCACGAGGTCGGCCGGGAGTTTTGTGCTCGACAGCGTCGACGTCGCCGCCGGTTGATCGCCGACGGAAATTTTCAGTCGTTTGTTGGACTTGGACATCTTGTTGGGATGCAATGTAACATAAAGCTTAGGGCATGTTTACTTTCATTTTTGTTTTCTGTTTTTTAGAAAACAGATGTTGAAAACAGGTGAAAACAACATTTTGTCGTTTCCGAAAACAGCAGGAAGTTGCCACTTTCTGTTTTCATAGTTGGAAATGAATAGAAATCAGAATGAAAAGTAAACAAGTTTTCTCATTTCGGTTGCCAAATTTATCACATGAAAACAGAAAACTGGAAACGAAAATGAAAATGAACAGGACCTTAGGGTTTTCACTTTTCATTCAACTAAATTTGTAATTACGAAGCTAATTAATAATTGAAGATTTATCTAATTCCCGGCCCAAAAAGAGAGGCCCACAGTCCCATCCCTTCCGGCCCAAATAACAGTTCTCCGCAGGAAATGATTTCCCGCCTTATTTTACCACCATGCTTCAATCTTTCGAGCGCTGATTCGGTGTTAATCCAACTTTCCCCCTGAACTCCGCCGAGCAAATTCCCGATGTTAATCCGATACAGAAGAAGCGTAAGGAAAACTCAAGATTTTATCCCGACCCCTTCCTCTCCTTCTTCTCAACTCCAATCTCGAGCGAACTCTGCTCTACGAAATGAGAATCAGTCATCCAGGAGCACAATCCCTGCGTTCATTCTTTCAAATCCTATTCTCCATCTGCTCGAGAAATGCAAATCGATCTCCCAGTTGAAGCAGATTCAGTCTCAGATGGTTCTCACGGGGTGGATCGCGGATGGGCAGGCGTCCAGTCGTTTGATCGCGTTCTGCGCGATGTCTCAATCGAGGGACATCGATTACTGCATCTCGATTCTGGATTCGATCGAGGAGCCAAACGCGTTCTCGTGGAATTTCGCGGCTCGGGGATGTGTAGAGAGCGGGAGGCCTGAGAAGGCATTTGTTCTGTACAAGAGAATGCTGGGTCGGGGGTTCAGGCCTGACAGTTATACTTACCCGTTGCTGTTGAATGCTTGCGCTGGGTTGGGATTGGATTATTTGGGTCTTGAGATTCTCGGGCATGTGTTGAAGTTCGGGTTTGATGGGGTTGTTGTCGTGCACAATGCGACGATTCACATGTTTGTTTCTGTTGGGGAGTTGGGGTATGCACGCCAGGTGTTCGATGAAGGTCGCGTGAGAGATTTGGTTTCTTGGAATTCGCTGATTAATGGGTATGCTAGGAAGGGGAAGGCGAGGGAGGCGATGAGTGTTTATAAGGAGATGGTGGAGGAGCAGGTGAAGCCAGATGAGGTGCCGATGGTTGGGCTCCTTCTAGCTTGTGCACAGTTGGGGGATCTGAAACTGGGAAGAGATTTCCATGGCTATGTTGAAGAAAACGGATTGAGATTAACGGTTCCCCTCACAAATGCACTTCTGGATATGTATGTGAAGTGTGGTGATCTTGTCGCTGCAAGAGCTCTGTTTGATAAGTCGAAAGAGAAAACTGTTATATCATGGACTACAATGATTGTTGGATACGCAAAATGTGGATTTTTGGAGACAGCGAGAGAGATTTTTTACGCCATGCCAGAAAAGAATGTTGTCTCTTGGAATGCTATTATGGGAAGGTATGTCCAAGCCAAGCGTGGCAAGGAGGTGTTGATTTTGTTTCATGAAATGCAAGGTAGCGATATACACCCGGATAAGGTGACCATGGTTCATTGTTTATGTGCTTGTTCACAGCTTGGCGCACTCGATACTGGAATGTGGATTCATCGGTACATTGTAAAGCACCAGCTCCCTTTAGATGTTGCTTTAGGGACAGCTTTAGTTGACATGTATGCAAAGTGCGGGAACCTCCCAGAGGCTATTGATGTTTTTCATAACATGCCAGGGAGAAACACCATGACTTGGACAGCTCTCATTTGTGGTCTAGCTTTCCATGGACATGCACTTGATGCCATATCCTACTTCCTGAAGATGCTCGATGCTGGTTTGATGCCGGACGAAATCACCTTCATTGGTGTACTATCTGCTTGTTGCCATGGTGGGTTGGTGGATGCAGGCCGTGAGTATTTCGACCAAATGACGTCCAAATTCAGTCTCCGTCCTCAGCTCAAACACTACTCTTGCATGGTGGATCTTCTCGGTAGGGCTGGTTTACTGAAAGAAGCACTAGATTTTATTGAGAGCATGCCGATGGAGGCAGATGCTGCAGTGTGGGGTGCACTGTTTTTTGCTTGTAGAATTCATCACGGAAATATCATCATAGCTGAAAGGGCAGCTTCGAAGCTGCTCGAGTTGGATCCCCACGACAGTGGGATTTATGTGCTGCTAGCTACCATGTATAGGGAGGCAAATATGTTTGAAGAGGGCAGAGTAGTGATGAAGATGATGCAGGAAAGGAGAGTGGAGAAGATCCCTGGGAGTAGTTGCGTTGAAGTTAGTGGCATTGTTTATGAGTTTATCGTTAGGGATAGATCGCACCCACAAACTGAACTGATCTATGAGTGCTTAACTCAAATGATTAAGCAGCTGGAGTCACTTGATTTCCAATCTGAAGATGCAGCTTTCTGCTAATGTACAAGGTTGGTATTCATTTGCACCATTCACTAATCTGCTTTTGTTTTCACGAAGTTAAACTGGTTTAAAAGTCAAGGTAAAATGGTGAGGACTGAGGAGGGTGATTGAAGTTTTTGAATCGTTGCTGGTGTGGGAGTCATGGCTTTGTCATCCTATTTTGTCATTTATCATCACCTAATAATCTTCACACCCGTCTGGCAGGAAGGCTATAAAGCAAAGAGGCTTCCAAATTCCAATTATTGAGTTGGAGGAAAAATTATTCTTCAGACAGGTAACTACATTGAGATTGTCTTTTATATGTTTTTACCTCATCTTCACTAGCTTAGTTCTTCTTGATGGCAAGTGGTGAATTTAGTATTTGATCTTAAGTCCTTAACCCGGTAAGCTTTAAGAATTGAACATTATAATAAAAGCTTTGGAGACAGTCAAGTCAAAGGAGACTCTGGTGACCTAGTTGCCACCATCACCATGGTAAATTAAGCTGCATAGGTTAGATTTGCAAGATCCAAAGAGTTAAGAGAGTTGTTAGTGCACTGATGTGCATAGAACTCCTACTTAAGGAACAGCAGCGTGGGTGGGAAGGGGAAACATGTTTCAATTAATTATGTTAAAATTATATGACAGAGTCACAAATGTTGAAAATGAATTAACCTTGGGGAAAATGGAAATGTTATAGAAAGGGATCCAATGTTGGCATGTAAGAGAGGGAAGAGTTTTTTACTCCAGAAACAGAGATTCACTCTTGACAGGTTCTGGAGGCAAAACACGAAAAAAAAAAAAACACTAAAAGATGGGGTCAACTATCATATTCGAGCACTTAACTTTGGGGTGACTAACACATTAGTCACTAAACTTAGTAAGTTTGAAAAAGAAAACATTATTGTCACTTTGTTCATCTTCAGTTAGGTTTTTCGTCCAAATTGTTTATGTTAGTGTATCAATTCATGGTGATTTGGGTAAATGTTTTGGAATTGGATCGATTCAAAGGTTTGATTCGTCCAAGTCCATGTAACCTCCACATCATTGATTTGTGTGAATCAGTACTCTAATTTGGATGGAACACATAACATAAATAGATGAAGTAATTGTTGAGTTAGTTATTTTTTAACTTCAATAATAAGCTTGTAATAAATTAAAGTATCAGTGACTGATAAGGTAGACTCCAGAGTTAGTAACCATCTAAAGTATCAGTGACTGATAAGGTAGACTCCAGAGTTTAGTAACCATCTATACAATTGACGAAAAAAGGGTGACGGGGTGGATATCATATGCAGTAATTATCATCTGTCCTTGCTTGCACGCAATGTTTCATTTTTCTCCCTCTTCTCATCTTTTATGTTCATTCACATTCACATATTCAATTGTTTTGTTCCTCCCTCATGCCTATTTCTGTTTTTGTTTTGTCATCACTCGTCTTCCCCACATGCCTGACAGCTTTTGTTGGTCTCTCTCTCTAGTGGCCTGGTGGCCGTTTCATTTGTTTGGGGTCATATGGCCCCATAGCCATTTGTCATTGCTAACCTGAATTTCACCAACCAGAAATCTTGATCTGGGTTTGTGCTCAGAGACCCATCTGGCTGCCTTCAATATGCGCAAAGTTACAAGTTTAGGGAATGTCATTTCTGTTGGGTAGTTGGAAGTGTTTCCTGGTTTTAGGTGAGAAAACTAGGATAAGAAGCTTTCTAAAAACTAGCCATTTGGATTTGCTTACCAGAATGGGGTATTTCCTAGTCACAGCTTATCATCTTGAATTCCCTTGATGCATACTTCACCTAACAACACCAGCATCTAAGTTGGTGACCCAATATTTGCTGATTTAGGTCTCGAAAGAGTTTTGGGAGACTATGGAATGTGATGAAATGATGGGGGATTTTGCGTGGGGGGAAATTTCATAGTGGTGGACCTAATCAGTGACCAGAGCTGCCACATGACCACCTTCTTTTGCTTCTATGCCCTGCCTTTTGGAATAATTTGCTTTTGTTACTTCAAGCCATTTAAGCTTCTTGGGTTCTTCTTCTCGAGCACATGCTAATTTCTTTTAGGGCTGGGATATATATGTATATACCAAATCCAAAATAAAACATTACAAAATTTGGAGTCTTGAAGTGTGGGATTTGCTATGTTTTCTTGATGATTTGATTCTTCTATCTCCAAGTATCTTGTTTTGTTTGGACTAATTGATATTGATCATGTCAGTTTCACGATTTACATTCAATTGGATTGGACTAATTGATATATAATTGAATTAGATCTGACAAGATAGACGATAAAAAGAATGTTCTGAACTTAATCGAAATTCAATAATCCAAATGTACTTATGATTATGATTAAGTTTTAATTATATTTGTTCCAGTTTTGAACCCCTGGTTTAGTTCAAGCTTTCGTAATCTTCAACATTTTTAATTGCAGGTTGGCTTTAATTTTCTTCATTCATGTGCTTTTCTGGGAGCTCAAGGTTACGAGGTTTCGTTTACTCTAGCTTAATTCAATTAAATGAAAACAAGTAATGGAAAATCATCACATGATATCCAGCTAATTTTGAGCATACTTCCAAAGCCTTTTTCGTCTTCATAATTCATATCATGTCATATCTGTGTGTTTCTTCTAAATTCCTTTTTTCCTCTTAACTCAAGCAGCTACCCTTCTTGCAGCGTAGGAATGGTTTTGGTGACCTTCCTTTCAACCGTAAGTCACATGAACCTCACTCTCAGTTTTAATTTTAGTTAAGTAGATAGTGCTGAGTTTTATTATAAATTTAATTGTTATAAGTTAAGTGTCAGAGCAAAATTAAAAATTACAATAACTCGAATTCAGTCTATAATACATCTTAGTAGTAGTGATTATGCATGGGCAATTAGGCACTAATTTTGAATTTCTATCTAAACACCTATTAAAAGTTTACTACTTTGATTTCTCAATTCCTCCCATATCGACTGACCCCACCATTGATTGTGATCTTCAGCTCCCCCAACCATAAATACGAGGAATATATTTTGGTGAAAGGGAAGCTAGGCAATGGGGAGGGACCCAGTTTATCACTTTATCTTTTGTTTTGCTATCCTTAACAAGTTCATTTCTTGCTTGCCTGTGTTATCTTTGCCACATTGATACATGGAGTGCCACTTTCTTTCTCCAATTTGGCAATTCCTTCATTGGCTTTGGCTTTGGCTTCGGCTTCTATATAGGTCACCAACCATCTCTATCAAACTCCTTTTGCTTTGGAATTCCAATTAACTCTCTCTCCCTCCTCCTCGGTATTTTGCTTTGGACAAACTTTAGGCAAAGAACCTTCCTTTTCTTTCCTATCTTTTCATCCTTTTTCCTACGAGTAATTTCCTGCGAAATGAATGAATGACTGCACTAATGAATGAAAAGTTAAGATGTGAGCAAGTGTTGTAGTATCATCATTCATTCCATTGTCAACTCTATCATAATTAAATAGGTTGTTTTGGGTTTAATTTGATCATCTTTTTGACTTTCCACTGGACAGATACCTGGGATTCTTCTCTTGGTAAATGCGAGTGCCACTAAGATAAAAGGAAGTTGCTGCTTCATTGCAATGCCTGCCAAGTGTTTGCGAAAATTACTCTTTCGTTTTTTTGTGGCTTCATTTTTCCTCGAGTGACAGTGTCCTTGGTAAACCACCGCATAAAGGCGGCCACCATCCACCCTCCCTCCCCCCAACTCAGCCAACAAGTCCATACAGTTAGAGACAGACAGACAGATAGACAGTGTCTCGACGGAGAAGAAGAAATGGCATTCTCGTGAAACCACCAGAGGAAGAGAAAAAAAAAGAGAAAAGTGAAAAGCTTGGGAAGATGACGATGGCGGGGGCGAAAGAAACCCTCTGATTCTTCTTCTCTTCACAAAATAAAAAGCTCTCAATGTCGGGTTCCTTTCTTTCTTTACTTCCCTCTCTCTTTTGCATCTCCCATTTGATATTGGCATTATAATATTACTACTGAGATCACAGAAACCCCGTTATCGTTTAATCTTTTTCTTCACTCTTTGTCTCGCTCATCCATTCTCTCACATTTCCCTCTTAAGAATATAATTTTTTTTACGCTTCGAGTTCACGCAAGTACTCGATTTCTGATGCCTTAATATCGTCCAAGTTCTTGCCTTTCGCACTTCCACTTTAATCTGGACTTGTTTCTTCTTCTTCTGGTTCCCCTCCGAGGTGTCATTTTCTCTCTCTCCTTTGTCTAACATTTGTAGCTTGATTCACTTGATTGCCTTAAATCTTGATCCGAGGGGAAGATCGCACAGCGTGTTTGATGCCAGCATAATTGTAATTCGTGAACTGCATTGCTTGAATTGTGATTTGGAATTATTTCCACCGCATCTATCCCTTTCGTGGTTCTTTTTGTGTTGATCTGTTTCATTCGTCCTGTCGTCTTCCCCAGGGTTCTTGAAAAAGATTCCCCACTCACCCATTTGGAGCAGTTGACTGATTCGACTATGTTTGTGCTCGACTGAAGCTTCCAGGCTAAATTCAAACTGGTTAGTTGGCATTGCGTTTTCGGTTAAATGGTTTGGAAGTGCTAAAGCTGGTGTCTTTTTGATTTGCTGACGTTTGTGGGGGCTCTTTGTAGCAGAATAGTTTTTCTACAGAGATGAGTTGGAGTCCTAGCATGGATGTTCACTACATGGAGACTAGTTATCCTTATAATTCAGCTGGAAGCTTCATGGAATACTTTCAGGGTCTCACATATGAACACGTGAATTTCATCTTTGATGGTGGTTGCCATGCTCAGGTACCTACCTAGCTGATCCTGTTGTAGTCCGGATTTTGAGAATTTCACCTCAGAATAAAGCATTTCATTCACCATTTTTGTTCTCACCTTTTAAGGTCTTGCCAATGTAATAATTTGCGCAGGACAGTAGCGGTGACAGTTCAAATTTCTACAAATTTGGCACTTCGCAACCAGGAGGTACTTCGTATTGTGATCCGAGTCACTCTTATGAAGTCCATGATCATGGACGCGAGATCGATGAATACGTAAGGCCCTTTCTGAGTTCTTCACAAATGCCTCTTGGCCGGACTGTTGGTAGAAATGCAGATTGGGATAGTCATGAGAACGCAACTGCCCATGAAAACCCTATTGACTGTAAGTCTAAAGTTCTGAACTTATTAGTTCCCCTGGCACTTTTTTGTGAACTTGATTAACCATATGACTAGATAAGTTGACAAACCATGCACTGATTAACAATATAGGAGCCAAGAGAGCAGTTCTTGTTGTAGGGTGTTGTGTTATAGTGTGCGGTTCCTTTCCTGAGATATGCAATTCTCAGATTTGGTGGCCTATGATGTTCTGTTAGTTATATGCCTTATTTGTTTAACCTCGGGTTGTTAGACAATACTTGCCTACACTATTTTACATCTGAATACTATTTGAGATTGCTCTTCTTTTTGTGCTGTACAAAAACTTTTGGTTTCAGGCTATTGCTATAATGTCTTCTCCTCATTTTAAAGTAATATTTTCCTTTCAGGTGTGCGGAGACATCATAATGCTCATGATTACCATGAGGTGTGTTGATATCATGATGCCACTATATCCTATTATAAGATAGAATTGCCTATGATTACTCTTTATTTCTGCTGCAAGTGTTATACATATACTTAGATCTAGCAAAATTGTTCTTTAACATGTTGGAACTCACCAATTTTGAGGAACCATGGACATTATGCATTGATAGCAATAGTGCAGTGCTTCCTTTAGACACCCTTAGTATCGTTCCTTCACTCACTGATTTCTTTGACAATGACTTCTGCTCCTGTTTGTATGTAATATGCAGGCTGTGTGGCAAGACAGCGTTGATCCCGACCATATGACTTATGAGGTAAAGGACATAGCCTCTGCATATCTCTTCTAACATTGTGCACTTTAGGTGTTAGCCTTCTAATTGAACAGAAAATTAGTTGCTTCATGTGAATAGGCTAGTTACAGTTAGTAATCAACATTTTCCCTGTCCAGGAATTGCTCGAACTAGGTGAGGCAGTCGGAAGCCAGAGTCGAGGGCTCTCCCAAGAACTCATCTCTTTGCTTCCTGTCTCTAGATACAGGCGTTGCATCTTCGCGAGAAGGAAATCAAGAACTGAAAGGTACGCAACTCACATTTCAGAAATACACCATGCGAAGCATAACCATGGGAATAACACCAGTAACTAAGTAACCACAATCTGCTCTGTTTCTTTAGGTGTGTAATTTGCCAAATGGAGTACAAGCGAGCTCAGAAGCGCATCACGCTACCGTGCAAGCACATCTACCACGCCAGCTGCGGTACTAAATGGCTAAGCATCAATAAGGTAAAGCACACTGGACGCTCTAGGTATCGCATTTTCAGTATCTTCTTTTTTCAACTGTTCACAAGTCCTTCGAAGGCTAATACTTTCTCCATCAGGCATGCCCCATATGTTACACCGAGGTGTTCAGTGGCGCAGCATCAAACGTCAAGAAATAAGCAAACCTGAAGGCAATACTATACGGTCGATTTTTCCCCCGGGATCCAAGTTTGGGGTGGTAGTTTTTTTCTCATTCATACCTTTTCTGTTAGTTTCTGGGTTTTAGTTGGCTTCTGTAGTGGGATTGGAGTGGAAGAAGAAGTAGAAAAGGTGATGGACTGTACGAAATGGAAAAAAGAAAAGATTAGGGAAGAGAATGTTGCAGGCTACGTTTGATGTTATTATGCAAGGCAAGTCCTAACCTGCATTCAGGTATGGCAATTTGAACCCGCCCCGCCGGGTAATACCCAACCTGACTCGCGATGGGGCGGGGCATGGGTATCAACTTCCGATCTGCCCCGTCCCGCCCCATCCCATTCTTACCCCGTTCTATGTTAATTTTTTACCCCATTCATTCATATATGATATATCTTTTATTCAACTATTTAGATTTGATCTTTCAACTAAATAGACTCAATTACTTATTATATTATCACTATTATTCATTCATCAAGTATTTTCCCCTTCGTTTTATCATAAAAAGTAAAATTGTGCGTGTATTTTTCTCAAATAGCATGTAAGAGTGGGTCGACCCGCCCCGGTCCATTGCCATCTCTAAGTTTTCTCCCAACCTTCTCTCCTTTCCTTCTTACTTCATAAATGCAAAGATATCCATATTTAAGGAAAAGGTGAATTATAACAGGGTTTTAGAATAATTGCCAAACATGGTTATATAAGCTCAGAGCTAGTCTAAAAGAACTTTTTGTATCTCTAACTACGAAAGGGCAATTGACATAACGAAATAAGCAGTTAACTTGCAATTCAACTCATAATACTTTCATGGCACCACATCAATGCAATTAACTCGCAATTGTAATTGGTTTTTTAATTTAATTATATAAGGACAAACTCTTAAAATAACACAAATAATAAATTATTGAAGGAGAAAAAATGACATGGCTTGCATTCCATAATTGCATTATATGCAAGCTTGCAAAGATGCAATTGACATCTACGTCAATGCAATTGCAAATGAATGCCATGTCATTATGCAATTTAAAATACAATTCCAATGTGGATGCTTTAAAGTATATCTGAAACATGATATTTCAAAATAAATGAACTACCATCAAGAAATTTTGGTGACCAAATTATTATTATTATATAAAGCTAAATCCCATGTTACTGTGGTTTAAGCCTTTGCTTATTGCTATCATGCACCACAAAGCACCAAAATTTATGTTTATATTCATCTTGCTAACATATGCCAACTTCATTGGTTATATCTCATTCCATGCCTTTGTTTTTCCTTCTTAGTATTTTGCAAATTCCACATAATCCATAGTTATTAGAGATTTGGGTTAGCACACGCAATATGTCTGCTAATGTTGGAATATTATTTTTATTAGGGATGACGAAAATATCTATAATCGTGGATCCCGAAACAAATCCGACATAATTAGTATCCATGAATACCCGAAACATCGGATGTGGCGTGATTTTAATTTTCTATCCAATTGTTATGTATCCAATTGTTATGTATGTACGGATGTGGATAAAACTGAAACTATTTGGATAGGAGAATGGAACTATTTGAGGATCTAAAAAATCACCAAATGCAAGAAGGATTAGAAAGAGATGTGTAGACAAAAGATGACCGAAACTCAAATTCCATTATTATTTGGAAAAAATATGCTACCAGCTCACAACAAATCCATTAGTGATGATTAATTAGTCTAATTTACTCCCACACAAAAAATTAGTCTAATTTACTTTCCCGAGTCTCTCGCTTCACACGCATCGGAAAATGGCGCGTTTTGGGAGTTGCAAGATCTTTTCAAACTTTATTTATTTCTTTCTTTCTCGGTCAAAGGAACTGTGCAGAATTTATTTGCCCCGTTAAATTAGGGAAGAAATTATGGCCTACTATTCCTAAATGTAGGTGTTGGTAAGGATGAAAGCTATTCTTTGTTTTTGTTTTCCTATTGTGTCTGATACCAGCTTTTTATTTATTATTTATTAAACTCTTTTTTTCCAAATGTAGGTGCTGGTAATGATGGACACTATGTGGGTGCTATAGTTGATGGGAACTTGGAGAATGTAATGGTTGGTCATGATATGGTTGCTGGCAAGGACCTTGTACTTGCAATGTGAAAGCATGAAAACTATTTTTTGTTTTTGTTTTCCTATTGTGTCTGATACCAGCTTTTTATTTATTATTTATTAAATTCTTTTTTTTCAAATGTAGGTAATGAAATTGATAATGTGGGTGCTATAGTCGGTGAGAACTTGCAGAATGTTATGGTTGCTGGTAAGGACTTACTTGCAATGTTAAAGCATGAAAACTATTCTTTGTTTTTGTTTTCCTATTGTGTCTAATACCAGCTTTTTATTTACTATTTATTAAATTCTTTTTTTTCAAATGTAGGTGATGAAATTGATAATGTGGGTGCTATAGTCGGTGAGAGCTTGCAGAATGTTATGGTTGCTGGTAAGGACTTACTTGCAATGTTAAAGCATGAAAACTATTCTTTGTTTTTGTTTTCCTATTGTGTCTAATACCAGCTTTTTATTTACTATTTATTAAATTCTTTTTTTCTCAAATGTAGGTGATGAAATTGATAATGTGGGTGCTATAGTCGGTGAGAACTTGCAGAATGTTATGGTTGCTGGTAAGGACTTACTTGCAATGTTAAAGCATGAAAACTATTCTTTGTTTTTGTTTTCCTATTGTGTCTAATACCAGCTTTTTATTTACTATTTATTAAAATTTTTTTTTCAAATGTAGGTTATGAAATTGATAATGTGGGTGCTATAGTCGGTGAGAACTTGCAGAATGTTATGGTTGCTGGTAAGGACTTACTTGCAATGTTAAAGCATGAAAACTATTCTTTGTTTTTGTTTTCCTATTGTGCCTAATACCAACTTTTTATTTACTATTTATTAAATTCTTTTTTTTCAAATGTAGGTGATGAAATTGATAATGTGGGTGCTATAATCGGTGAGAACTTGCAGAATGTTATGGTTGCTGGTAAGAACTTACTTGCAATGTTAAAGCATGAAAACTATTCTTTGTTTTTGTTTTCCTATTGTGTCTAATACCAGCTTTTTATTTACTATTTATTAATTTTTTTTTTTCAAATGTAGGTGATGAAATTGATAATGTGGGTGCTATAGTCGGTGAGAACTTGGACAATGTTATGGTTGCTGGTAAGGACTTACTTGCAATGTTAAAGCATGAAAACTATTCTTTGTTTTTGTTTTCCTATTGTGTCTAATACCAGCTTTTTATTTACTATTTATTAAATTCTTTTTTTTTTCAAATGTAGGTGATGAAATTGATAATGTGGGTGCTATAGTTGGTGAGAACTTGGACAATGTTATGGTTGCTGGTAAGGACTTACTTGCAATGTGAAAGCATGGAAGCTATTCTTTGTTTTTGTTTTCCTATTGTGTCTGACACCATCTTTTTATTAATGTAGATGATGAAATTGATAATGTGGGTGACTAAGAAGATTTTGAAGAGAATGGAATATGCAAGTTTCTTTGTGTTTGGTGATAGCAGCTCGGGACTTAGTCACTTAGCTAGTTATCTTGAAAGTGACTAAGAAGATTTTGGAGAGAATGGGATATGGACTTCCGCTAGTTACTTAGCTAGTTATCCTGCAAGTTTCTTTGTGTTTGGTGATAACAGCTCGGGACTTAGTCACTTAGTTGTTTCTATTACCACGTACTTCCGCAGTTTTTTCTTTATTTCCGTTACTGCTATTGCTATACTCTGGCAAGGTTGAATGATGTTCCACAATAGAAATGCACACTTTCGCAGTTTTTTGTTTATTTCCGTTACTGCTTGTGCTTTACGCTGGCAAGACTAGACTTCCACTTCTAACAGGCCAAGCTCAGGAGAACATGCACACAATTATGAGTCCCAAGGCTATTCCACGTCGCCTCACCTTCCTATGGTCTAGGTAATCTATACTGCAGTGAGGATCTTAGCTTTTTGTTCGAAAATATGGGAGATTCACACTTGCCATGCAAGATTTCGAGCTTGAGCTAAACAAAGCAGGCAACAATGAAGCATCCACCGACTCGGCATAGTCATGCTCCCCAATTGGTCGAGTTATAGATGGCCAGTCCAAAGGGAAAGCAATTATGGTCTAATCGTCAGGGTCCTCAAAAGTTTATACAAGGAGAAATACTGACATTAGGAAACCAGACAATTATGCAGTGGAGTCATTCCCCAAGCGCCCCAAAGTCGCAAAAGAGAAAAAGGCGGAGGAAGCCAACCCAAAGTGGCCCCAACCGGATAAATGAATGTCTACGCGTGGAATTGTCAAGGAATAGGCAGCACCTTGACTTCGCAAACGCTTAAAGCTCGCCGCAACATATCCAAGTCTTTCATGTTTTTATGTGAAACCATGTCTCCTACTGACAAAGTTAGTACTTTTATTTCTTAGTTAGGATTTTCTGATTGTCATCCTGTGTAATAACAGTTTCATACTCAGTCATTCTTAACTGCTCCCCATCAGAATATTTTAGACCCTCAAGAGGTCTAAGACAAGGCGATCCACTTAACTCCCTATTATTCACTATATGTGTGGAAGGATTCTCTAGCATGATAAGGAAAGCTATGTCCTTAGGCTACCTTGAAGGAGTCCGAATCCGCCCCCAATGCCCGGTAGTCTCACATCTATTCATCGCAGATGACTCGTACCTATTCTTAGTTGCTTCTCCAATATATTGCACAACTCTTCTTTCTCTCCTTCAAGCCTATGACGAGTTGAGCGGACAACGTGTTAATTTAAATAAATCAACGGTCCTTTTCCGCCAAAATACAGACCCTATCCAGGAACAGATGATGGGCGCTCAATTAGGCATTGGAAGCATAGGAGAGCATGACTCATATCTAGGATTACCAGCCATCTTATCAAGATCGAAAAGGGATGCTTTCCTTTTCATGAAAGAGAAGCTTATCAAAAAGCTCCAAGTATGGAAACAACTTTCCTTGTCCAAAGCTGGGAAAGACACACTAATTAGATCTTCTGCCACTAATATTCCAGTCCTTGGAATGTCATGCTTCAAACTACCCAAGGAAAATTGTAGGCGACTAAACAGTCATGTAGCAAAATTTTGGTGGGGAACGACTCATAATACACAACATCCGATCCATTGGGTTTTTTGGAAAAGTCTAGCTACAATAAATTTCATGGAGGCCTCGGGTTCAGGGATTTCGGCGCCTTCAACCAAGCTTTGCTAGCTAAAAAATATTGGAGGATTTGGACTAATCCAAATTCCCTCTTTTCATAGATCTATAAGGGTCGTTACTTTCCCCAATGTTCTGTATTAGAAGCCTCAATTGGTTCGAGCCCCTCGTGGGGATGGAAAAGTTTACTGTTCGGAAGGGATTTACTTCTGCAGGGACTAAGATGGCAGAGCAACGGGCAGGGGACTCGAACATTTATTGATAGCTGGTTACCGGGTGATAGACCTTTAGTTCCGAGTATTCGATTTCAGATTTCAAATGAGACTGCTATGGTTTCTTACTTCATTAGAGAAGGTCTATGAGAGTGGAACATTCCGAGCTCCACCTTTACTTTGAACCTCAATCCGTCGATCTAATCAGAAAGATTCCTCTGCCACATCGGCCGCAATAAGACATCAGAGTGTGACATTACTCCAAAGATGGAAAATACAGAGTCAATTCAGGTTACCATCTACCGTTGGAATCGGCTTTGGCCTCAAGTCGGAAACCGATAGTTCAGATTATCGACCCTCCCATTTGGAAAAGGACTTGGAACATCCAAGTCCCGCCTAAGCTTAAGTTCTTCGTATGGCAATGTCTCAAGGTCATTCTCCCCACAGTGGTGGCCTTACAATCCCGTGGAGTTAACTGCCTTATTCGATGCCCCGTGTGTTGCAGACATCGAGAGAGCATTGAACACTTATTTTTTAGATGCCCCCTCGCCACCAAGTTGTGGACGTTAGTAGGATTAAGCAACTTCATTGATTCCGCCCTGACTATCAACTTTAGTATATGGTGGCGACATGTCATGGTCTCTGAAACCTCCCCATTCCACATTCTCCAATGCGTCTGCTTACTTTGGATAATATGGAAGTCTAGAAATAACGTGATTTTTGAATTTTACCAATCTCATGTCCTTCCCTAGCCCGACAATTCTACAACCCGGTCGTTGAAGTCTCCAATCTCCCCCCCCCCCCCAACCTCCACCCCGCAGTTCTCTCCTTCCAACCCTCCCACCACGCACCTGGATCCCTCCACCAGACGACTATTTAAAGATCAATTTCGATGCAGCTGTTTGTGATTCAGGGTGTTCATCTTCCCTTGTTTGTGGGTCAAACGACCATGTGGAGCTGGCATCCGGTCTGCATTATCAGGGAGTTGTCAACCACTATTTGACAGAGCTCCTAGCCGTTCGAGATGCCATCAGCCTTGTAGCCTCAAGATCCTTGACTCACGTGATAGTGGAAGGGGATTCTGAATTGGTTGTTAACGGATATGCTACTCAATTTTTTAGATGTAATCAAATGTCCCCAACAATTTATTATATAAGAATTATGAACTAAAATAGTGATTTGCATATTTGGTCGCTTAATTCAGAAGTACTTTGGGTAGGGTAACGGATATGCTACTCAATTTTTTTTTTGTTTCTAATGATCATCGACTTCCTAAAGAAAGAAGGATCCACCTGAATAGGCATCAAACCGATCTTTGTCATGAAACTACCTGAAAGTAACATCAACACAAACACACTAAAGAGAATCACATTTCACAGAATCCTTGAATTCAGGGCTGCAGACTTTGTTTCACGACCTGCAAAGATAACCGAAATATAATTCTTTAAAACATAAAAAGTGGGTACGCTTTTTTGCCCAAGAATGCGAGTTACTGTAGATTATTTTGTCGTTTCTTCAATGGGGCTGAAGACTTGGCCAAATTTGCCTGCCCTCGATCGAGACGGTCTTCCTCCTTCGGCGACCATGCTTCCGTACCCTCTCTCCGTCCCTTCACCCCACTCCCAGAAATCCGCTGCCGCACGTCGTCTCCTATCATATCATCACTTTGTCTAGGGTGCTTTCTCGAGTTGTCAGTTCTTCTCAGTTCCTCCCGCACGCCACCGCCCGTGTTTCTATGGCCAGTCCTTGATTGCTTCACCACGCCACCTTCCTTCTGCTCCTACAGTGCTTCCTCTCTTTATCAATTGCCTTCGGTTGTACTTGGTGGGAGACAAATGCTTTACCCATCCATAGTCCCCTTCTCTCTTGCAACACAGACCCTAAAGTGACCCCGATGCGGCCGCCGTGGAACCCAAAGGAGGAGAAAGATGGGATCGCTTTGGAATAGGAGAAGCATGGTTAGAATGAATGCGACGAGATGGAAAGGGACTTGGTCTACTCTTTTCATCACCTCCTTCCTGAGATTTCAATGGATCCGCACATCGCTCTTGCCTGACATCTTCTGAAGCTCACCCAGTCAGGGAGCCCATTGACTTATCATCTCCATCTGTCGGGCAGAAGAATCGTCCGCCAGGCAGGGTGCCGTCGCGGAGTACTTCTCCTACCCCGAAAGCGGTTCCCTACCTCAATCCCCATCTCTCTTTGTTTTGCTGGTGGAAGAAGAACCTGAAAAAGAAGAACACGGAGAATATTGGGCCGAGAAGAGCAGCAGCCCGGCCGAGAAGAGCAGCAGCCCACGGCCCAGGCGCAGTCGAACTTCTCCTCTACGTGCACGACAAGGAAATCTTCCTTCATTCATGTAAACGTAGGGCAGAAGGAGAACAATATATATAATGATCCTGTAGGCCTTTCGGCCAGTGTGTAATTGTCGACAATCATAATAAGATCAAAGCTGGAGAGGCTCAACTCTCCCGTGGATTAGTCCTGACAAATCGTCAGGGATACCACGTAAAACTCGTGTTTGTCTCGTGTTATTCTCGATTTTACATGGCATCAGAGCTTAGGTTCAGGCAGTTCAACTTCCGATTTCTGTGATTGACATCCGCCATGAGTGACGAAGAAACGGCGAAGAAGCCGCAGACCTCTGGCGCTGGTTTTAAAGGCGAGTCCTCAATGAATCAAGGATTCGACGTAACTTCTGAATATTTTCTACACCCATCGGACATCAATGGTCAACTCCCAGTTTCTGAAGTCCTCACCTCGTCCAACTATGGTGAGTGGGTTGTTGACGTAACAGATGCCCTAATAGTCAAAAATAAGTTCGGCTTTGTTGATGGTAGCATCCCGCGACCTGCGGCCGATCCCGAGTTGAAGGCGTGGAGTCGTTGTGATGCGGTCGTTAAAGGATGGCTACGTATATCCATGGACAAAGAAGTCCGGAGCAGTGTTCGTTATGCGAAAACGGCAAGAGAGGTATGGGTCGATTTGAAGCAACGTTTTGGCCAAGGTAGCCTCACTCGTGGGTACGAGCTTCGCCGCATGCTCAGCGGATTGTGGCAAGAAAAACTTTCAGTATCTACCTTTTATACTCGGCTGCGCACCATATGGGAAGAGATGCAGTCAATGGACC